CATCTTTGCTGCTATTTGAAGGCAGCCATGATAGCCACCCAAATCTTCTCTTCTATGGGCCAAACATCCCTGTTCCCTCAGCTGCTCTTTCACCTGGCTACTTCCTTCTACGAGGCTGCAGTTTCTCTGTGACCTTCACTAAGTGTAGGGGGCATCTGTCACGTGCATGCCTACCCACCATCTTTCTGTATTTGCAGAAATCCCTTCTGTCCCCACTCCCTCGTGAGGTAGTGAGAACTGACACTCCCAGTCTCCCCTGCAGCTGGGGCCAGTCATGTGACCCAGGCCCTTCATAATGCAGGCCGAGAAAAAGGCATTGAGCTTTTTGGGGGCAGGGTGAGTTCTGGATGCAAGATGATGGCAGCCATAGCAGTCATGGAAATGGATTTCCTGGGAGCTGTGGAACCGCCATTGTTGATTTCTGCCTTTGTGGTGGCAGCAATGACCTCATCAGGGCTTTCTTTGAATAGATCTACTTTCTTCTTAAATTAGCCAGAGTTGCTCTCTGGTAAGAACTCTGACTCATACAGACACAACTCAGCAGGGATCTCTCAGGGCAGACGTAGAACCATCACCTCCTCATCCAGCGACCATGCTTCTGTCAATGCAGCCTCTACCTAAATGCCCTCTTCTAAGCGACCACATCACACAGCCGACTTACATTAAACCAAAACCCTCACATATCAGGGATTCATTCCCTGGCCTAAGGAATTTTTTAGAAAAACAGACTTCATGTACTTTCTTGTTACGTGTTCAACAGAAAACAATGTCTGAACTCCCCCGACATCCCCCATGTATGAGAGGGATGCCTTTGAAGTGCTGAACATGCAGCCATTCCCTTGACAAGGAAAGAAAATAATGAGAGATTGTAGATACAATCCTGCCACTCCTTCTCTGTCCCCATGGCACAGGGCTGGCACGTCTCAAGGTCACCCAGGAGCCATTATGGACCAGATGTTTCATGCATTCCTCTTCACTATCAGGGTACTGTGAAGTGAGCATTAAGCTACGGCTGTCTTTGATTGTTCCCTCCTGGGTGTCCCTACCACTCTCAGGGGCTCTGTGCATGCAGAAAGACACCTCATTAAGGTCTTAAGATAAACAAGAAGGCCCTGCTTTCCTCCTACTGCCAACCCTGAACAATACGAAGGGGAGAGGTTGAGGACTCAATGCCACAGCAGAGAGGCGGGCCCCTTATTTATATTAGCATCAGTAAACGCCGGTGAAATATATACATGTGATGTAGATCAAAGGGGCCCAGGGAAAAGGGGAGGTAGCATGGGGTTGTGCGTGAACAAACCCTTAGGCTTCATTCAGACAGGCTGAACCCTCCACTCAGAACAATACTATTTCAGATGGTTTCCTCAGATGTCTCGCTAAGAGGTCTTCATGGTCTGGGTCGGAAGGAAAAGCTCATAGTCACTCACGAGGTTGAGAACCCAGCCAGGCCAGGGAACGGGACAAAAGTCATAGGTTGGTCTGGCAGCAGAAGGGGTTTGAGGTGAATCCGACCTCCATCCTCTACACCGTCGCTTCACAAAGAGTGGTCCCTGGACCAGCAGCAGCAGCCTCACCTGGATGCTTGTCAGAAATGCTGACTCCCGAGCCTGACCCAGCCCCAACCAGACCTGCCTTAAAAGGAGGTCCCCAGAGCTGTGCCTACAGAGTGAGTTCGAGGAGCACTTCCCTACACCATCAGCGAGACGTCTGGAAATCGGTCAACCACAGAAGGACCTTGTTGCAGAAATGAAGGGCCATTTAGCCCAGGTGGGAGCAGTGGACCTCAGGGACCCATCACCAACACCCAGCTGTGGGCCTAACATCATGGGACAGTCTCAGCTCTGTGCTGGTTAGGACCAGGAAGTCATGTCTGGCTCTCAGGAGACACACTTGTTCTCTGGAGCTACGACCAGAGAGTCAGCTGCCAGAACCAAGCTGCCTCACCACCAAGCTTCCTGACATGCTCACATATTTGGTCCAAAGGAGATGGGACCCTGGGGAGTATTACTCAGCAACGAAAAAGGGACAGATTCTTAATACATGCAACATCTGTGGATGGGTATCAAGGTCATTGTGTTGAGTAAGGCCATCTACTCTATGCTTCCATTTATATAACACTAGAGGCACAGTGCATGAATTTGTGCACCAGTGGGGTCCCTCGGCCTGGCCTGCGGGATCAGGCCAAAACCAGCTCTCTGACATCCCCCAAGGGGTCCTGGATTGCAAGAGAGTGCAAGCCAGGCTGAGGGACCCCACCAGTGCACGATCGGGGCTGGGGAGGGACACGGGAGGTTGGCCAGCTGGGGAGGGACTGCGGGAGGGCTCTAGGGCATTTCTGGCCTGTCTTGTTCAGTCCCGATCAGCCGGACCCCAGCAGCAAGCTAACCTACCGGTTGGAGCGTCCGCCCCCTGGTAGTCAGTGCACGTCATAGCGAGCAGTTGAGCGGCCTTAGCATATCATTAGCATAGTACTCTTTGATTGGTTGAACGGATGACCAGATGACTGGACACTTAGCATATTAGGCTTTTATTATATAGGAGTCTCAAAATGCCTAAATGCCAGGGGATAGGGAAAGTGTGTGTGGAAGGGGCTAGGAGAGGCTATAAAGGGGCAGCATGAGGAAGGTCTTTGTGATGGGACAGTGACCCGCCTCCTCCCCGGGCAGCCCTCCGTCCCAGAGGTTTGAGATGGCATTAAGATGCTACACTCATCCGAAAGAAAGTTCAGTCTAAAAAACAACATCTGAAGAGCATACCAATGATACCAGGACATCTCTTTTAATTGCCTATTCACGCAGACAGATTGTCTTTTTATATTCAGAGCTAAACTCGGAGATGTGTCCTTTCGCGGGGCCCTCGCTATCTGGCTGCCTCATCAGGAAGGGGAGCTCGTGTGCAATGTGATTGCTGAGCGCCAGTTCTATTTTTTCCTACCAAGAGGAAGTTTAAAATCTGCTGGGTTATTTATTTTATTTTTTCCCCTGCTGGGTTATTTTTAAAGACGGTGAAAAAATAGGCATGATATCGGCTTCCGGCTTCTGCAGTGGCCCTGGCCGGAGGCACGTGCTGTTGGGTTCAAGGCCTTGGCCAGCTGCGGGGAGGGGACCAGAGGTGACGGGACGTTTCACCGGGGAGGGCTGGGGAGTGAGTGTCACACAGTCAAGTGGCAGAGAAGGTCACGGGCCTGGCCGTGGACCTGAGGACAGCGAGCCTGGGTTTCTCTGGAGTTGATCTAGTGGTTGGTTTCATTGGGGGATGCGTGATGACTCCCCTCCTTTCCAGAGGGCCATGGTCCCCAGTCCTGGACTGAAAGTTGGGGCTCCACTGGGTCTGGGACCTGCTCAGTCCTTTGTGGGGCTTTGAGCTTTAGACTCAAGTCATAAGCGTCACAAATGTGTCTCACATTTCTGAGTCGATGAGGTGCTTGGGAGAGTGACTGCTTGCAACTCTAATTTAGGAAACATTAGGGAAATGCAAATTAAAACCATGAAGAGCTACCACCTCAAACCAGCCAGAATGGCTATTACAAAAAGGCCAACAAATAACACGTTGGCGGGAATGTGGAGAAAGAGGACCCTGTGCCCTGTGGGAGGGGCTGCAGGTTGGTGCAGCCACCATGGGAAACACTGTGGCGATTCCTCGAAAAACTAAAAACAGATCAACCATTTGACCCAGCAATTCCACTTCTAGGTATTTTTTCCGAAGAAAACAAAAACACGAATTGGAAAAGAATTTTGCACCCCCATGTTCATTGCAGCGTTATTCATAACAGCCAAAATATGGAAGCAACAGATCAATGGCTTAGGAAGATAGCACACAGGAACATTACACAGCAAGAAAAAAAGAATGAAATCTTGCCATTGGTAACAATCTGGGTGGACCTAGGACAGTGGTCGGCAAACTGCGGCTCGCGAGCCACATGCGGCTCTTTGGCCCCTTGAGTGTGGCCACGAAGTTTCAATCGCACTGTACATGCGTGCCCGCACATGTTATTTTGTGGAAGAGCCGCACTCAAGGGGCCGCAGTTTGCCGACCACTGACCTAGGAGACATTATGCTAAGTGAAATAAGTCAGGCAAAGACAAATACCATGTGGTTTCACGTATATGTGGAATCTTAAACAAACAAACAAACAAAACAAAACACTCATAGAAACAGAGGCCAGAACGGGGGGTTTGGGGGTGAAAGAGGCGAAGGGGAATGTAGTCGGTAATAATGTGATAAGGTTACACGGTGACAGATGATCAGTAGGATTAGTGGGTGATCACATCGTAAGGTATAAAAATGTTGAATCACTATGTTTACACCTGAAACTAATATAACCAATATAAGGATGTATGCCGACTATATGCTTAAAAAAAATTAAAAAGAAGAGCTCACGTATCTATACCAAGGATGCACCGTTTGGGAAAATCATTTCTTTTAATGACAGAGAAAGCACACCAAACTAGAACAGAAGCCCGTCAGGAGCTGCCACTGTACCAGTCAACACCCACAGGCCCTGACAGCATTAGCCAGTCACAGGGGAGTCCATCGCGGATGAGGGAACATCCACGCAGCATCTCTGCGGACACGCAGGAGGCAGGAGATGGCCACGGGTCACACATGTGCTGTGTGTTTGTCACCGGGACCCCTCTGCAGTACCGTTTCCTTCCTCATGGATGGTTGTAGGGCCTGAGGAGGTTGGCAAATGACCAGGTGGAAGAGAGGCCTTGCGTACGGGCATCACAGAAGAACCAACACCGAAGACGGATGTGGCCCGGCTTCTCCACAGTCACCCCATGGGACGGAGCACGACGCGGGTCCTCTGAACAGCGGCTCAGGGAGCAGGTACGCTGGACGAACAGCAGCTCCTTTGAAATTCAGGGTCTGCGCACGGCTTCCCAAAGGCATGCTAGGAAATAGGTTTGTCAACGCAACTTGGCCATCCCAAGGGGGGAAAGTCATTCTCCTAGTTTTCACTGCACGTAGCTAGGTTTCAAATGAAAGGACAAGAACAAAGGCAGCAACTCAAAAATTATTTGGAATATTGTGGCACTTCACCCATCTCTGTTGCTTAGAATATATGGCAGAGCAAATGGAACCCTGTTGATATAAACTTTCATTATAGATAACCCTATACTGTACACTCTCCAAATACAGAAAGAAGCCATCCTATCATATAGGTTTCATCTTGAAAAATAATCTAACATAGTCATAGGCTCTGGCTAGTAACAAACTATTAACATCTTCTGAGAATACAGAGAAAACTCTGGAATTACTAGTAAATTCTCTGACGTGCTCGCCCCCCCCCCCCCCATTCAGCATCATCTATGAACACATGTCTGCAAAAGCATCCCAGAATCATTCATAATTAGGAAAAGAAATGGACATGTCGTTTCATCCAATGGACTTTTAGCAGGAAGTGATGGAATATTTGTGGTTTTTTTTTAACCTTGGCAAAAATGAAGCACAAACGTAACATTTCACAGGTGCGGCCCATGCAAATGCATGTTTTCTTATGCGGGGCTATTTCAACCTCACCCCGAAACCACAACTAGCATGCAGGCTGTTTTCGACTACTGAGTGAGAGAGAGCTATTGGCAGTGCACCTCCTCTGTGTCACCGTGATCACTAAGGCAGGAGTATGATTTCACCTTGGATAGACTATCAGCAAGATCTTGTCAGATGCAGGCTTATACAGTGTGGACCTGTGTCTTACTGTTGTTGTTTTTTTAAAGAAAAAAAATCTCAAAACACAGGTCCCTAAACACAATTCAGTTGAAAATGAACTGTTATGCTTTTAGAAATATATTTTAAACTACAGGCTGCCCTGTGTGTGTGTGTGCATGTGTGCGTGTGCGTGTGTGTGTGTGTGTGTGTTTTAATGAACATTTTAAAAAGTCCCCACCCCTAAAAATTTGTCAAATTATTTCTTCGCTATTGGTAACAGTCTCACCAATCTGCGATCAGGGTTGACTCTTGCTCAGCTGTGGCTGCTGCGGTCCTCGGTGGGTAACACAACTCTCTGCAGTTAGGTGTTCCAGCTGCCCACCTGGAACCCAGACGACCTGTGGTTCCCAGTCCGTCCTTCTGACAGTGGTCCCCACAACAGATGCTCAGCGACCCAGCGGTGCCTTCGAATGGGGTTAGCTTGGCGGCCCCGTGTTGGCCTTCAAGCTCTGGACCCAGCTGCGCCCTGCTCTGCAGACCAGTGGAATGTCCTCTGTTTTTCAGCAGGAACCCGTGGAGCTGAATTTGCTTATTCGAGGGGATCCGAGGCAGTAGAGGCAGCTCCCTGGCCCAGCCAAAAGCAGACGCCGGGTGAAATGTGTGTTTGTGTGGAGCCGGTGCCGCAGGAGCACTGGCACGTCCCGGGGAGCGGCCCCTGCACTGGACGCTTCACACGACGGAGCCTTTGGAAGATGACAAGTGGATGGACTGAATCCTGATGGCCAACGTCCTCTGTAAGTCCTGCAGCACATCCTGGCCCGTGCCTTCGCCATTCTTGTCGTAGAGGAGCTGCTTGAACGCCTCGTTCTCAATGAGGACCATCATGTTTTTGAGAAAGTAGCCTTCACAGTACGCGGAGAGCTCGGTGACTCCGAGGAACTGTGGGGAGTGGAGAAGAAGCGGGAGATGGTTATGGTTCTGAGAGCAGCCGATGGCTTCCCTAGGTAACAACGGCGGACACCTATCACGGTGGGCAGACTGTGAAAGTGGCCCTGCTCCTCCACCCTTGGCTATAGTCACACTCTTGGGGCATGACTTTGTAGCTTCTCCGTCTAAGGGCTAGAGTCTGTCTCTTGGACTTGTGACCTGCTCAGGCCAACAGAACATGGTAGAAGGGAGAGTCGCCAGTTCTGAGCTACATTCATGTGGCAGGGTGCTCTCTCTCTCTCAGAACCCAGCCTCTGCCACAAAAACAAGCCCGAGCCAGTTGGTCTGGAGGTGAGTGACCAAGTGAGACCGAGTGGAGTCAACCCAGCTGTCCCCGCTGAAACTTCTGATAGCAACAGGGTCCAGCCAGGATCAGCAAAGCCAGCCAAGATCAACCAGTCAGCTGATCTTGCCGGAGACTCTTGTATACAAGATAAGCACTCACTGTTTCAACCACTGGGTTTTGTGTTTCTTCGTAGCACTATAGATCACTGGCATGCGAAGGGAGTTGTAGACACAATTCTAAGGTCGTTACAAGAATTAACCCATTTAATTCTCACAACAATCCTATGAGTGGGCACTGCCTACCTACCCAATATCTTTAGGGCAGGGGTGATTTTTGCCTCCCAGGAGACATTGGGAAAAGCCTGGAGCTATTTTTGGTTGTCACGAATGGGCTGGTGATGGTGTGTGTCCCGCTGGCATCTAATGGGTAGAAGCCATGTTGCTGAACGTCCCCACGATGGGCAGTCCCACAGCGAAGAATTGTGCAGCCTGAACCCTTAATAGTGCTGAGCTTGAGACACTGGTCTAGAGACGTGGTTCCTGATAGACTACACCACTACGGGAGGGACTTTGGCAGCCTGGCTCACCGTTAGAAGCCCGAGCAGAAGGCGTGGCGTTTGGCAGACACTTAATGTTTTTTTTTTTTTTAATTTTATTTTATTGATTTTTTACAGAGAGGAAGGGAGAGGGATAGAGAGCCAGAAACATCGATGAGAGAGAAACATCGATCAGCTGCCTCCTGCACACCTCCTACTGGGGATGTGCCCGCAACCAAGGTACATGCCCTTGACCGGAATTGAACCTGGGACCCTTGAGTCCATAGGCCGGCGCTCCATCCACTGAGCCAAACCGGCCAGGGCAGACACTTAATGTTTGAGGAATGTGTGAACGAATGGTAACTCTCAGAGCAGTGAAACTCACAGCAGTCATTTATTGAGAGCTTACGATGTGCTGGGCACCTTGCAAGGCATTTCACAGGCATCATCCCATTTGATCTTCAAATTTCCCTGAGGCAGGTACCATCACCTCCTCCAATTTATGGATGAGGAAATGGAGGTAAGAGCACAAATCACTCACAAAAATTCATACAACATGCCCAGGGCAGAACCAGGAACTGAACCCTTAAGGTAGTGCTTGACCCATGAGGTCGCACTGCCTTGGGCCTGATGCTTGTAAGGGTAGGTATTTAACCTCACAGCACGCGATGGAGGAACGCACGTTCGAGCTGCAGAAGCAGATGTGGCTGTGTGGCTCGGCGTCTGTCTTCGCCCTGCTCTACAGTTGTCAAAGCTTGCAGGTCCCTTTATTGCAATGAACTGGAGGCTCAGGAATTGGCTGGGAAGGGCTCCTTGAGATGACATCTTGCTGCTTTATTTAGAATTAGATGCTGAGTCATCCTTCTGAATGCTCGAATATTCTGTCCTTTAAACCAGAGATGCGCTTTACGTTGTCAGGCGTGACATGGTGCGATGACGATGAGGCAGTGCCCATCGGGTGATGGTGGAATGAGCTGGAAGACCTGGGTTCCATTTGGGGCTCCCCCACCTTATGAATATGTGACCAGGGCTGGGTCACTTGGCCTCTGGCTTTGGGTTCCTCATTTTCAAAATGGGAATCATGACACTTGCAACACAGACCTGTTGGCAGGATTCAGTGGAATATGATTGATGGCAGGACTCTGTCATCAGCTCTCAGAGGAGGCAGGATGGAAAGCAGCTAAGGGAGGGGGCTCTGGAATCTGCCTGGGTTTTCAGTCCAGACTTCGCCACTCACTAGCCATCTGCTGTTGGAAAAGTTACTTAATCTCTCTGTGCCTTAGTATTCTTATCCATAACATGGGGACCAAAATAATACCAAATGAGCTGTCATTGTGATTAAATGAGATAATACATGGATCATCCAGAACACTGACTGTAATCAGTAGTCACTCACTGTCAGTTGTCACGATAAATGTAGACTATAATTCTTCTTCTTCTCAATAACTTGTATCGGTGACCCATGTGTACAAAGTGGCCAGGTTGTGGTAAGAAGAGTTGACTGTATCTACAGAACCCAGCTCAGCTACCTGGCCTGTAACCTTGAACTTGCTGACGTCATGTGCTGATCCACTGAGCCAACAGCCCAACTGTCTACATAGAGCCCATGTGAAACCAAATCGACAGCAACAAAACAACCTGACTAAAAAAATTGGCAGAGGATCTGAATAGGTATTTTTTCCAAGGAAGACATACAGACAGCGAACAAGGACAGTAAAGGTGTTTAACATTACTGATTTTTAGAAAAATGCAAATCAAACCCACAATAATGTATACCTCATACCTGTTAGAATGGCTATCATCAAAAGGACAAGAAACAAGTATTGCAAAGGATGTGGAGAAAAGGGAACCCTTATACACTGTTGGTGATATTGTAAATTGGTGCAGCCACTGCGAAAATCGGTACCGAGGTGCCTCATAAAATTAAGAATAGAACTACCTTATGATCCAGCTATTCCACTTCTCGGTATTTATCCAAAAAATATAAAAACACTAATTTGAAAAGATACATGCACCTCTATCTTCATTGCAGCATTATTTACAATAGCAAAGACATAGGAACAACCTAAATGCCCATCAATAAATGAATGGATATAGAAGATGGTTATATATATATATGATCTTCTACACACACACACACACACACACACACACACACACACACACACACACACTGGAATACTACTCAGCTCTAAAAAAGATGAAACGTTGCCATTTGCAGCAACATAGATAAACCTTAAGGTTTTATCATGCTAAGTGAAATAAGTTGGACAAAAAAGAAAAAAAGCCATATGGTTTTACTCATATATGGAATATAAAACAAAAAAGAAATGAACAAACAAAAATAAAAAACAAGCCCATAGCTACAGACAACAGATTGGTGGTTACCAGAGGGGAAGTACGTTGAGAGAGGGTATGGAGATGGATGGAAACTAGAATATTGGTAGTGAGCACCCTATAGTGTATACACATATCAAATTATAATGTTGTATGGTTTGGCTCAGTGGATAGTGTCGGCCTGTGGGCCGAAGGGTCCTGGGCCAAAGGGTCCTGGGTTCAATTCTGGTCAAGTGTATGTACCTCAGTTGCAGGCTCCTCTCTGGCCTGGGCCCCGGTCAGGGCGTTTGCAGGAGGCAACCCATTGATGTGTCTCTTTCACATTGATGCTTCTCTGTCTTTCCCTCTCCCTTCCACTCTCTCTAAAACTCAATGGAAAAATATCCTCGGGTGAGGATTAAAAAAATTAATAAAAAAATGTTGTACACTTGAAACATATAAAGTTATTAACCAATGTTACCACACAAAAAAATAATTCTTCCACAGTGCTGGAGCAAACATACAAAAAACCATGTGCAATCTTGTACAAATCAAATCACTTTTCTGGGCCTCAGTTTTCCAAGCTACAAAACGAGGGGGGTAGACTGGAGGGAACCACACTCAGGGTGCATTTGGGATGCGGACACACCAGGGAGTTCTGTGGTCTCCGAATGACTGGGGACTGTATATCAGACACTTGTCCATGTCCACACAGCTAATTACTAACAGAACTGGGACCAAAACTCTCAGCTCCCAGACCTGCGATTTTAACCTTTTCATCTCATGGCACACATAAACTAATTACTGAAATTCTGTGGCACACCAAAAAATTGTATTTTTTGCTGATCTGACAAAAATATGTATAATTTTTATTTATTCACACTGGACAGCTATTGTTGTGTTGGCTGTTGTCATTTTTTTTTTTTTAATTTGACAATCTAAAGGAGAAGAGGTCAATGCCTGCATGTTTTAAAAATTCTTGCGGCATACAGGTTGGAAATCACTGTCCTAGACCAATGGTTGACAAACTACAGGCCTGCTACGTGTTTTTGTTAAGGTTTTATTGGAACACAGCCACACCCATTCATTTATATATTGTCTGTGGCTGCTTTTGCACTGCATGGCAGAGTTAAGTAGGTACAAAAGGAATCGTATGGCTTGCGTGAAAATATTTACTGGGCCCTTCACAGAGAAGGTTTGCTGGCTCCGGAGCCTCTGATGGGACAGCTTTGCTGGTTAAGAAAGGACGGCTAAGCCGAGCGTTTAAGGAATGGGCTTCTCATCTGTATAAAACTCCACAGCTGTCCCAGTTACATGGAGTAGAGAGGTAAAGTTGCCATGGCCTCGCTGGCGCTTGGAACGTGGTGGTTAGCAACTAAATGCCTGCATTTCCTGTGGTTCTACACCAGGTGCTGGCTTCTTCCTTTTGTTCTCTTTTACTAAATCAGCCCCCGTTTGCAGCACGATCCGTCAGTAATAGAATCCACATGGCACGTGGTAATTAGTGGGGGCTGCAGTGTCCACAGCGCAGGGGAGCAGGGCAGGGGCGCGGGCACTGCCCAGGCCTCCATGCCCGTGTTCCCGGAAGGACAGGCGTCTGCATTGGAAACACTCTAGGGCAGTGATGGCGAACCTTTTGAGCTCGGCGTGTCAGCATTTTGAAAAACCCTAACTTAACTCTGGTGCCGTGTCACATATAGAAATTTTTTGATCTTTGCAACTATAGTAAAACAAAGATTTATATTTTTGATGTTTATTTTATATATTTAAATGTCATTTAACAAAGAAAAATCAACCAAAAAAATGAGTTTGCGTGTCACCTCTGACACGCGTGTCATAGGTTCGCCATCAGGGCTCTAGGATGTGGCCTGGGAGGCCGAGGCCGGTGTCTGTAAAAGGCAAAGCTCTGGCTGCAAAGGTACCTAAATGAAAGAGACAGTTCTCTGCCACCGATGTTCTCAGCCTGGCACAAACGTGCGCCCAGCCAGGGCTCATGTTGCTCGGGGCTGCATTACTAAATAACGAGATAGTGGCCGAGGCTGCCTGCCAAGGAGCATGAAGAGATTAAAACGGGGTTGTGGAATTCAGGCCTTACCACCAAGGCGATGGGCCACGGCAAAGCCACGTGTGATGTGGGGTTCACAGGGCATGTGTGTCCATGGCTGGGGGTGGACAGAGGACCACAGACTGATCAGGCTCTCTTTCTGGGTAGAGAGAGTCTTTCTGGATGCTTTTCTGCAAAGTAATCAGTTTAAGATTTTTTTTTTAAGCCTGTGTCCTGAGAAACCAGATTTTGGTAAAGCTGTCACTTCACCAAAACACCCAGTGCTGTATCCATGTGTGTGTATATGTGTGTGTGTGTGTGTGTGTGTGCACTGTGCAGTATGAAGTAAGTAGGCTGGCTGTACTTTTGATTTACTGATGACCGATCAGAAAATCTTTTTTTAATATCAAGGATCATTGCAAATATTTAAAACAATTTTTTAGGCCATGCAGTAAACCCAAAATTAAGAACCTGTGCTTTGGAGTCAGGCAAATCTAGGTTTATACTCCTGGGTACTATCCCAAAGAACTGAAACAGGGGCTCGAACACAGGGTTTGTCCACTCATGTTCACAGCAGCATTACTCACAATCGCCAAAAGGTGGAAGCAACCTGTCAATGATGGACGAATGGATAAACACCACGTGGTGTACACATACATTATTCAGCCTTAAGAAGGAAGGGCATTCTGACACATGCCAAGACATGGATGAACCTTGAGGACACGGTGCTAAAGTGAAATAAGCCAGTTACAAAAGGACAAACACTGTGTGATTCCACTTCAAGGAGATACCCAGGAGAGTCAGACTCACAGAGACAGAAAGTAAAATGGTGGTTTCCAGCAGCTGGGTGGAGAGGGAAATGGGGAGTCAGTGTTTAATGGGTACAGAGTTTTAACCTAAGATGAGAAACCTGGAGACGGAGGGTGGTGATGGCTGCATGGCAATGTGAATGTACTTAATTGTGCTGAACTGCACATTTAGAAATGGTTACAGTGTGAACTGCATGTTACATATATTTTACTATAATAGAAAAACAGTAACCCCTCCGTAATAGCTGTGTGACCTTAAGCAAGTTACTTCCCCTCTCTGTGCCTGTTTCCTTATGATGACATGGGACCGGTGATAGCATTTATCTAAAAGGGTTGTGGTGAAGATTAAAAGAGATGGTGCCACAAGGCTGTTAGCACAGGAGCCTGCACACGAGAAGGAATTGTTGAATGCTGGTTTAAGACAGAAAATAACATCTCACACGCAACCTGGTTTTTCCCGATGAGCCACGAGAGAATTATGCACATCAGGTGTCCCTCCGCAGAGCTGTGGATGTCAGAGGCAAGGACACTGAGCTCCAGGTATCAAAAGCTTTTCGTTTGTTTTTGATTGATTCCCGATTTTACCTCATTATTTCTTCCCAGCGAATGTGAATCCCCCATCCTGAGCACAGGAAACAGCAGGAAGCGGCACCTGGGCTAATTAATCCTCTTGGTCCCAGATCCCCACGTGTGAAACGAACTAGATTAAAACCAGTGGGTCCCGAAAACTGGAGTGAAGGCTGGCCGTGGCGCTGAAGTCACAGCAGTCACCCTGGGAGCTCGTTAAAAATACAGATTCCTGGGCCCCGCTGTCGGGACCTGGCTGTGGCCATGCGGAGGGGGGAGGGAACTAAGCAGATTGAAACTCTCCCCTAGTGATTCTGATTAGTAGTGTTAGACCCACCGGTCCCTGGCTCTCCCCCGTCCTGACACCCTGATCTCAACCTTGGCCACATCCGAGAATCACAGGGGGAGCTTAGAAAAACACCCTCTCTCTGGGCTCCCCCAGAAGAGCTTGTGGAATTGCTCTGCGAGAGGTCCCGGGACCAGGGATTTTAGGTGAGCGTCCAGGTGGCGCCTGTGCGGCCCACGCAGCAACTAGGCACCAGAATCACCTGCGAAGCCACAGATGGGCCTCCCCCAGAGTTTCTGATTCTGGAGGTCGGGATGGGGCTCTAGAACGTACACTCTGAACAGGTTCCCTGGGGGTGCTGACGGTGCTGGATGGTGCCCACACGCCGAGAACCTTTGTTCCAGAACCTCGCTGCCCAAGGTGTGGCTCCGCCCAGTCTCGGGGGGGGGGGTTCCCCTGGGAGCTTGTCACACCAGCGGGACCCAGTGGCCACCTGCGGCTGAAGCAGCCTGCAATGCGGGGCAGTGGGAGCACTCGGTAAAAACAACTCTGCTCCGGGGACCTCTGGGTTCCCGCTTTCATCTGGAGGGGCGGGAGGAAGGGACGGCATTATTCCAGAGCTGGGAGGGTGCAGGCGGGGCAGCCCCGGGTGAGCAGGCCCGGCCTGGGCTCTGCCTGTCTCGGTCTGACTGTGCGGGGACACCTCGCCCGCGTGCGCGCACGGTCAGCTCGGGCAGCGCCGGCGGCCTTACCTTGGCGTGGTTGTAAATGTCCACGCAGTTGTCCGAGTTGATGCCTTTGGCACAGATAATCTCACAGTGTCGCTGCAGAGCCTCCAGCTGGAAAAATTTAGCCGCAGACAGAAGCTAAAAACCGTAAAAGAACCTGTTAGAGGTTGGGCGGTGGAAGGTGAGGCAAACCCCCCTGCTCCACAGCGGTGTCCCGAGGGGACGGGACTGGGAATACTGTGGGTACGTCGGAGGAATGAGACACAGCGATGGAACTCTACCGTGGGGAAGGTGGCTCAGGGGAGGGGTGGGTGGGTGGGAGGGAACCAAACTCACATCTACTAGAGCAGGAGGTCGAGCAAAATGCCTAAAACGGTTCTGTCCCGAAATCAGGGTGAATGGTGTCAGTTAGCAAGATGGATATGGACGTGGCTGGCTCCCTGTTTATCTAGGACAACACTCAAGTGTCACCTCCTCCGAGAAGCCTCCCAGACCACCTCATCTCAGGTGGTCCCCCTCCATCACCGCCTGTCCCCCACGACCCTGTCTTTCTCCTCCTCACAGCCCTTCTCACACCAGACATGATGTCATTCCGGTCGCCCTCCCCAGCATCTGGGAGGGCGGGGATTGCTGTCTGTTTGCATCAGTGCTGTGTCCCAGCCGGGCAAGTGGCCTGGCAGAAGTGTGCTGAGAGCTGAGAGACGGACAGGCTTGGGGGAAGAGAAGAAAGAGCTAAAACACCAAAGGGACGCCTTTGGGGAAAGGCTTGGGGGCTGGGGGCTGGGGGCTGGGTGAACTGCTCTTTTTAAACAAACCCTTCCGTAGTATTTACATGATCTAAATATATGTTCATTATTTTGATTTGAAAATTTTTAAAAAAATGTTTACAGCTTGGCTGGTGTGGCTCAGTGGATTGAGCATCGTCTGTGCACCAAGAGGTTGCTGGTTTGATTCCTAGTCAGGGCGAATGCCTGGGTTGTGGGCTTGATCCCCAGTAGAGGGTGTGCAGGAGGCAGCCAACTGATATTTCTCTCTTATTGATGTTTCTATCTCTCTCCCTCTCCCTCTCAAATCAATTAAAAGGAAAAAAAAAACCCATAAAATTACACCAGGACTTGTAAAATTGTGAAATAATTGAAGAAAAAAAAGTTTACAAAAGAACCCGTGTCCTGAGACTGTAGCCTGGGGCTAAAGGAGAGGAGAAGGGTCAGAGGGGCGGTCCAGAGAGACAAGAGAGTAACTTTTGGGGGGGTGCGGGGGACTGACCACCGAGGGCCGTTTACAAAGCACTTCATCCTATTTCATTTACTCAGGAAACTTTCCTGGAGAAAAGGATAAAGGGGCCACACAGGGAGGACACTGCTCTAGGGCACCCACTATGTGCCAGGCACTGTTCTAAGCACCTAATACTCAGGAACTCCTAAAATCCTAAACACCCAATGAGGTAGAATTATTACCCCCATTTTATAGGTGAGGAAACTGAGGCTCAGAGCAGTTAAGTACTTGTCCCAGATCACACAGCTCAGAGGGGCAGAGCCTGGATTTAAACCCAGTCTGGCCCAGAGTCCATGCTTTAGCCGGTGGGTGGGGCCGCCTCGTGGACAACCGGCAGCGTTCTGACATCTCTGCTCGGCCAGGGACCCTGGACTTCAGACACCTCAGTGGGGTCCTGTGTCTTGCTCAGGAGCAGAGTGATTTGGGCTTTTGGTTCAAAGCTTCCAACTTGGAATAGGAAAACCTACAAGGGTTCCGCTTCGAGGAGGGAGCAGGGGAGGTCTTGGCCTCGGACAGAAAAGAGCAGGAACAGGTCCCCTGCCACGGGCTGAATCCCCAAGGCAGACGGGAGTGAGGGGCGGTCTGGGTGCTGGCGGGAGTAAGGGGCGGTTGGGGTGCTGTGGGAGTGAGGGGCGGTTAAGGTGCTGGCGGGAGTGAGGGGCGGTTGGGGTGCTGTGGGAGTGAGGGGCGGTTGGGGTGCTGGCGGGAGTGAGGGGCGGTTGGGGTGCTGTGGGAGTGAGGGGCGGCCGGGGTGCTGGCGGGAGTGAGGGGCGGTTGGGGTGCTGGCGGGGGGTGCTGCGGGAGTGAGGGGCGGTTGGGGTGCTGTGGGAGTCCGGGGCCATCAACCTCAGTGAAGCCAGGAGAGCTTCGTAACGGGCTCCCAGCTTCTGCTCAGGGCCAGAGCTGGGATCTGAAGGCTGTTTTTAGATGATATGATTATCTTACAAATGACCAGGGACAAATCATCAAGGATAGTTCCTGATGAGGACATCGAGCCCCAGCTGTGCTTGGAGACGCAGCCTCTTCAGTAAATTTCCTTTGCCCCCTCTCCCTCCCCAACCAGCCGCAAGCCAGTTAAAACTGGGTTTCAGCGAAGGGGGTCTGCTAGTGCACCAAGCACCCCACCCTTCCACGAGGAGTGAGACAGGACCCCAAACCTGCATCCAAACAAAAACCCAACACGAGTGCTCCCAGGCCTGCTGACGTGTGCCATGCCCTGAGTTCACAGAGGTGCCTCCATCCCCCAGCGCCACTGCGGATGCCTTACCTCCATTATCTCGTTGTTTTTAATGAGCAGCGACTCCGGGCCACCGTAGTAGAGATACTGCATGACCAGCTGGAAGAAAGGACACAGCGTGTGAGGCGTCAGCCACACAGACAGTCATCTTTTTTTTTTAATATATAATATATTTTATTGATTTTTTATAGAGAGGAAGGGAGAGGGATAGAGAGTTAGAAACATCGATGGGAGAGAAACATCGATCAGCCGCCTCCTGCACACCCGCTACTGGGGATGTGCCCGCAGCCAAGGTACATGCCCTTGACCGGAATCGAACCTGGGACCCTTGAGTCCGCAGGCCGACGCTCTATCCACTGAGCCAAACCGGTCAGGGCCAGACAGTCATCTTAAAGCTGCACTGAAATCAATTCATCCTCCCAGGACGTTAATAAAGGCCAAACCAACAATAACAACCCCGCGGGCTGTTGACAAAGCACTTCATCCTGTTATCTCCTTTACTTGGGCCGGAAATGCTGCTCCTCCGTGGAGATCCCTGGCAAATGGCATTGAAACGGGGCTGCCCCACGCCCCCTTCAGACGTTGCCAGCACAAGCCTTTTCTGCAAGGGGGTGAAACGCACCGTCCTTAGGCCGCAGGGCCTGGCTGCGGAGTTGTTTTTCTTGGCAGCTGTCAACCTGCATGAAGCCGGGATGCAAACGGCACACAGCCTCATGGAGGCCCCGCGTCCAGGTGCAGCCTCAGCTGCGTCTGGCTCCGGCCTGCGTGTGATGTTAAGCGGTCGTGGAGAGAGGAAACGCAAGGCAGCCTCATTTACTAAACTCCTTCGGTCAGCATGGAAGTGAGGTGAACAGGCCCCTGGGAGCCTCCTCCTGGGTTGGATTCAGCCCGACTTGGCCTATTTCAAGCCACAAATGAGGCTTTTCTTTTTTTATGGGGAAGGCGGGGCGCAGGCAAAAGCCCTGGGGGTGGAGGGGCTGCTCCCTGCCCCTCACAGGAGCTTGAGGGCTTGAGGCTCCTGTGGCCAGCAAGCCTTTCCCATCAGAAGCAATTACAGGCCTCCATTGCTCTGGGCTGTGCTTTGCCCTGGATGGTCTCTTATTCCTCGAATCTGTTGAATTTGTTGAGTGCTGATTGCAAAACAGGTTCTTATTTTAGGAACCTCCCCAATTAGTCCCAGGCCTAATGGTGTAGTGCCCCCTTCCCGGCACCCAGAGAGCGGGGAACACGTGCACGTTCCAGTGTCTAGCTAGCTCCTGCTCCAGACTCTAACGGGCCTCGGCTTCTCTCCTCGGGCCTGGGTGGCTTTGAGGGAAGGGCCAGGTCGCCACCGCAGGGAGGCAGTGAAGAGAACAGGTCCGGGGGTCAGCCAGGCCCGGGTCTGAACCTCAGCTTGGCTGTGATGAGCGGTGGGCGCTGGGGCACATCCTGCCTGTAAGGTGGGGGAAGAGCTGGCGGGGGGGGGGGGGGGGGCGGGCAGCTGGGAGGGCCCAAGGCGATGATGGATGGCAGTGGTTCTCAGGGTGGCCCCTGGACCAGTAGCGTCGGCATCACCTGGGTTCTGGTAAGACATGCACATTCTCGGGCCGCAGCCCAGACTGACAGAATCGGGGATTCTGGAGGCGGGGCCCGGGAATCTGCATTGGAACGTGTTTTCTGTGTTTTCACAAGCCCCCTCTGCCCTGTGGGTATTTTGAAGCTAAGGTGTGAGAACCGCAGTAACTGAGAGTGCTGGGGTAATGGGAGGAGGATGAGGCTCCCCAATGCTGATGCCTGGGCCTCGGCTCAGAGTCTGACCTAAATGGTCTGACTCACGGCCTGGTTACTGGGCGCTGTCAAAGCTCCCAGGTGACTCTAACATGCAGCCCAGGTGAGAATCACCTGCTTGGAGCCTTACACAGAGGAAGCGCTCAAGGATACCAGTGCTCCCACTTGGGAAGTGTACTCCAGAGCCAGGCCTGCTGGTTCAAATCCTGGCTCTGTCACTAACTAGCACTGAGACTAGGGGGTGCATCATTTAAGCCCTCTGGACCTCCGTTGTTTTATCTCCAAACACGTCCAGAATCATCCAGATAACCACGTGCAAGCAGAGGCCGGTGCCTCATTCACAGTTGGAGCCCCATTAAGGTTTCTTCACCGTCCTCCCCACCCCTGACCCTAAAGCCCAGCAGCGGTTTCATGGAAACGTTTAACCCCAACAGCTGCTGCCATTCCGGAAGGGGCTGTGGCCACTTTCCTCCCAGTAGGAAATGTGGTGAGGGGTGGGGGTGAGGGGCTGGGAAAAGGGGAAACAGGCACTGGGATGAGTGGGGGGGTGCCAACTCCCAGTCCCATCCTGGGGCTCCAGCCTCCTCTCTGCTACCCCCACCCCAGGGGGACGGCTCACCCGGGCTGGCTTGGCACCCCTTTCAGCCGCTCCCCAAAGCTTAGTGCCAAGTAGCCCATTCAACAGGGACTTAGGCTTAGCAGGGAGGTGGTGTATCAGTTATGCCACAGAAAATAACCTGCTTAATGAGGCTGAGGGTGTCTTGCCTATGGCTATTTGGAGAGAGTTCTTTACTTTGAAGTTTCAACATAACAAGAAAAGTGCACCTCTAATGGTGGAAATGCAGACTTTGGGGCTAGTCTTTGGCGAGGGCACGGTCTCCCTGGCAGCCCTCTGAACAGCAGGCTCTGAGGCACCGGGCCCAACAGTGGAGGGAAGCACCAGCATCTGGCCTGTCTTCTCCCCCACGTGGCTCACACCCGGTGGGCCCAGTGTATCTTTTCCATCTCTGCTAACCCTAAACCCAGCCAATGACTGACAATCCCTTTCCCTCAAACGTACCCTACGACCTCCCACTTCTGTGCCTCTGTTTATGTTTCTGCTGTTCCTGGAAACCGAGGCTCAGAAAGCTTGGGCGATCTGTCCAAGGTCCCAGGAGAGACACTGCTTTTCAACAGGGGGAGGAGTCAGTTTAGACAGAGGGATGTAGCATGTGAATCCCGGAATGCAGCTCTGCCTTCCAAGTCCAGAGGAGGGCCCGGCTCCGTGACCCTGGTCCCCGCCGGCCCGGCCTCCTGCTTGTCTCTGAGATGTCTCTTAACTGTCTTACACTGAGAGTCTCCTGAGGCTGGCCCGAGTCTTACCCACTTGCTTACTCTTTCCTTCCAGAATTGCACGGGAGGAAAGCAAGGTCCAGTTCAGACTCTGCCAAGCACCATCCCAGCACACCCACGTTGGCCTGCTAACCCTGGCTGGCGGGAGGACAGCACGAGGGACCCCGGTCTCCCCTGCAGGCCTGCCCTGGGAGGTGTAAGCAGCCCACCAGGCTCCAGGCCCTGGAGGAGACTCAAAGCTCCAGGAAAAGGGCTGCAAAGCCGATCCAGGGTGAATTTCTATGAGTTGCAAGCAGGCCCTTGTGGGGTACGACGTATGAATGGAGCATGAAGGAGGGTGGGAAAGGGAGAAGGCACCCCCTCAGAGATGCCACGTGAACTACAACCCACCGTTCACGGTACAGACGTCCCCCAAATGGGAGAGAGACAAGGTAATGCCACCTGACCTTCGACGAAGGCACCTTCCTTTGCTACTTACATGAGGCTCCTGGTAGGTTCAGATCAGGGTGACAATGACCTTGGATTCCCTGCAGCCCACTGGTTCCTGGTCACACTGGGCTCAACCAGTTCTGGGACTTTATCTGCCCACTGTCCCCCTTTCTTAAGCCCTAAGCCTTCCTTCCTATGGCTCCCCAACTTCTCAGCTTTCAATCTTTCAGCTAACACCTCACCCATGACGCCTTCCCCAATTCCCCTGGTCTGAGTTGTCACAGCACATCGGCTCACTCCTCTCTCTCAGCCCCCGTCACGTTATACTATAATGAAGTAATTACTCAGAGTTACCCCCTCTGGGCTGGGAGTCCCCAGGAGAGGACTGTCTTTTACCCTGTGCCCTGGGTCCCAGCACAGTGTCAGGCACATAGCAGGCGCTCATGCTATCCCTACTCAGTGTAGGGGTGAATGGATGGCAAGTGGGAAGGGCAGTGTGAGGAGGGGGCCGGAGTGCAGGAGACGGATGGTTTGTTGCAGCAGCTGATCCACAGGCTAAGGACTGGAGGGAACCACCCGTGCCTTGGGCCCACCCAGCAGGGGCTCACCTGAAAGATGGGGTACTTCACATAGCCGATCTCTATGCAGCTGCTGTCATTTGTTGGCTTGCTGGAGAGCAGCGCTTTGAACCTGAGCAAGATCACAAAAAGAGAAAAAGACTCACAAGCACACCCACAGCTGGCAAGAAACTCGGCTCTTTTATCTCCCTGTCTCTGACATACAGCAAGGACATCGCCACAGATTTCTTAGTTTAACCCTCCCCTCCCTGTAGGATATCGTAATCCAATCTGAAGTTAAACCTCAACTTAAAAGAACAGTGTTGTTCTAGCTCAGTGGTCGGCAAACTCATTAGTCAACAGAGCCAAATATCAACAGTTCAACGATTGAAATTTCTTTTGAGAGCCAAAAATTTTAAAACTTAAACTATACAGGTAGGTACATTGTTATTAACCTAATTAGGGTACTCCTAAGGCTTAGGAAGAGCCACACTCAAGGGGCCAAAGAGCCCTATGTGGCTTGCGAGCCACAGTTTGCCGATCACTGCTCTAGCTGGTTTGGCTCAGTGGATAGAGCGTTGGCCTGTGGACTGAAGGGTCCCAGGTTCGATTCCGGTCAAAGGCACATGCCCGGGTTTGTGGGCTCAATCCCCAGTAAGGGGAGTGCAGGAGGCAGCCAATCAATGATTCTCTCTCATCACTGATGTTTCTATATCTCTCTCCCTCTCCCTTCTCAATAAAAATATATTAAACAAGAAAAAGAAAGAACGGCGTCATTTCTCAAGCAGGTGATTAGAAAAGAGCAAATGCCTTTGAAAACCCCATCTGTCCTGCAGGGCCCGTCACAAAGACTGCCTCCTCCAGGGAGCCTTCCTTGGTTCCTTTGCGGCTCATGGAGTTTTCCAATCCCGCCTTCCCCCTCCCAAACAATCGCTGCTCCAGGCCGGCTGGGACCTGTGCCCTTTCTGCTTCTGCTGCATCCTCGGAGCCCGTGCCTGTCCGATGCATCGTGGGTACTGAATCAACATCTGTTGACTCCCTGGGGCTCCCCCGTGGCTGACCTTCTGCCTGAGCTTTTAGATGCACTTTCCTGCCGTCCACTAAACTACATGCTCCTGGAGGGTAGAGAACCTGCCACTGGAACACACCGATAATCTATTTAGGAATAAGCTCCGTGTTTCTTTTTGTAAAAATTAAACATTTAATCTTGAAATAATTATAGATTTTAGAAGACATGCAAAGATAGTTCCTGCTTATCCTCACCCAGTCCCCCCTGCTGTTAACATCCTACACAGACAGCCATGGTCTCTTTGTCCAAACCAAGAAATGAACATGGTCACAACATCGATCTGTTTGTTCAATAGTATTATAACTGAGAGCTATGCAAGAGATGGCATGTTTTTCTTGTGGTGGCAAAGCAGACACATGGGGTTTGCATTTTGTTTGAGGGGCACCGTGGGTGCCAGGTTGCTCTCAGGATCCAGGGAATGCTGGTCAGACACATTCCTTGGCAAGAGTCCCTGGAAGTAGGTTCTTACCCTGGGGCCTGCCTCTTCCTCATTTCAGCATCACTCTCTCCCTGGCCCAGCCTCACTCCTCCTGGTCAGGTCCTTGGACCATGCAGTTCCACATGGTCAACCTTCTCATCTCAAACCGAAAGGCAGAGGAAGGGCAGTGGCGGAGCTGGCTGAGGGTGCCAGACTATTGTCCCCTCCAGTCAGGAAGAGGAAGGCTCACAGGACCCGTGTATTTCGGTGGCTTATGCCAAAGTTCCCTGACATGTGGAGGGCAGGCCTTTCCAGGTGGCCATGTGTGAGGTTGTGCACAGCACGAGGCACCTGGCGGAGGGAGTGCAAACCTAATCCACGCTCCTCCCACGCACTGCTCACTGCTCGCGGAGCTCTCCCCACACCTGCCCTGTCTGCTCGGAGTCACAGGCGCCGAGTCCACACACACACAAAGGCGCTGCTGTTTATGCCGATGGCTACCCACTTTTTTTTTTTTATTGTAAGAAAAAAACACAGAACATGTCATTTACCATCTTAACCATTTTCAAGTGTATGGTAATGTTGATGTTGAGTATATTCCCATGGTTGCACAGTCAATCCTAGAACTCACCAGGTGCCATTAAACACTAACTCTACTCCCCCCCCCCCCCTTTCCTCCTAGCCCCTGGCAACCACAGTTCTTTCTGTCTCTAAGGATTCGCCTCCTCTAGGACCACATATAAATGGAATCAAACAGCATTTGTCTTTTGTGACTGGCTTATTTCACTTTGCATAAGGTCCCCAAGGTTCATCCGTGTTGTAGCCCGTGTCCAAATTGCCTCCCTTTTCAAGGCTGAATAACACATGTGTACACCACACTGAGCTTATCCATTTGTCCACTGATGGACACCTGGGTTGCTTCTACCTGCTGGCTATTGTGAACAATGTTGCTATGATACAATGCACAAATGCCCTGCACTCTTTTTTTGTTAATCCTCACCGAGGATATTTTTCCATTGATTTTTTTAGAGAGTGGAAGGGAGGAGGAGAGACAAAGAGAGAAACATGGACGTGAGAGAAACCCATCGATTGGTGGCCTCTCACACGCACCCTGACACAATCCTTCAGTCTGCAGGCCGGTGCCCGATCCACTGAGCCAGACGGGCGAGGGCTGCTCTGTGCTCTTGAATCCTTGATCAGGAGAAGATAATCTGCCAGTCTGGTGGAGATACCCCCAGAATTGAACTTCAGAGCACAGTAAAAGCCACAGCCACATTCGTAATTCACCTGCTCTCCAAGTAGATGTACATACCTCGGAGAGGCTGTAAATAACAGCACTCTGTGAGCATAAAACGGTCTTCCTTCCACCAGGAAGGTGACATCAGACATTTCTTTATTGTTGAGGAAATGAGGGTCTGGAAGAGGAAAGGGAAAAAAGGCAGCTTTAGTGGAGAGAAGGGTAAAGCTGGGATTCCAGGGGATGAAGTACTCATTGGTGAGGCAGGGACCACACAGAAGCAGAATCGATCAAAGGAACACTCACATCACTGAAATCCAGTTTTTCATTGGAAATCGTCATAGCTTATTCGTGATTCGAAGTGGCACTTACCCACAGAAGACTGACCCACAGCCTGAGTTCAGGTGGCTCCCAGGTGTGAAAGGACACCTGCCCACCTGGCCTCGAAAACTGTCACCTGCCCTGGTTTCCCTCCTTTTCCCTGGCTCAGTGTCCTCCCTGCTGACAGAAGTGGGTGAGAAAAGCTGCCCCCTTGCCACTGTGTTCCAGGGTTTTTGAAGTCCAGGCTCTTCTTTCCCTGGGTCAGTGACAAATGAGCCAGTCCCCTGTCTCACCTCCAATCCTATCCTATATAATAAAAGGTTAATATGCAAATTGACCGAATGGTGGAATGACCGGTCCCTATGATGTGCACTGACCACCAGAGGGCAGACGCTCAATTCAGGAGCTGCCCCTTGGTGGCCAGTGAGCTCCCATAGGGAGAGTGCCACTCAGTCACTCGGGCTCACGGCTGGCGAGTGCAGCGGTGGTGGCGGGAGCCTCTCCTGCCTCCATGGCAGTACTAAGGACATCTGACTGATGGCTTAGGCCCACTCCCATCATCAGTTGGACATCCCCTGAGGGTTCCTGGACTACAAGAGGGTGCAGACCGGGCTGAGGGACACCCCCACCCCCCCGCCGAGTGCACGAATTTCATGCACTGGGCCTCTAGTAAGAACAGAAGATAGAACCAGTACTTATGGGGCACTCACGATGTGCCAGGCTCTGTGTAAGCTGGCCTAACACATGTCAGCTCATTCAGTCCTGGGGGGTAGGTGTGCATTTGAGGAAACTGAGGCACAGAAAGTTACAGTGACTTGCTTAAGCTGGTGACAGGTGGGGAAACTGCCTGGTTCAGACTCATCACCACCATGTATCTGCTCTTTGCCTCTCCCCCTGACCTGCACACTCTGGGTGTGTGTGTGTGGCGGGGGGGGGGGGGGGGGGGGGGGGGCGGACCATGCCTGTCCTTGCCACGTCCTTTCCTCTGTCTCTAGCACAGGAAGGTGGTAGAACTTGGGCTCTCAAGCCAGAAATCTCAGTGACCTTTGGCAAGTTATTGAACCATTTCGTGCCTCAGTTTCCACTTCTGTAAAATGGGAATAGTAATATCCATTATATCCCGACATCCTAGAATCATAGTGAGCATTATATGAATTAATTCATGTGAAGCATAAATTAATGGCTGACACATACTGCCCCTCAGGGTTAGCAGAACATCTAGATGCTCAATTGACATTTTCTGAATGAATGAAAGCATGCTCTGGCCATTGCTTTAGAGTCATGTTGTCGGAGCTTGTCAAGGACATTGGGCCCCTGCTTAGCCTGGGGACCTGCTTGTTGTTGAAGGGCCCTTCCCCAGGGGTTAAAGGTTTGTCCTGAAACAAAACCCAGCTGCTCCCTACCACTGGGTTTAGGCTGCTCTAAAGCACTGAGGGAGGGAGCCAACCCCCTGGGTTCCTGGGGACCGACCCCCAGCTGTTGGGCCCACCCTGTCTGACTGCACCTTGAACCCCTGGCCTGGCCCCAGTTTTGCCCAGACCTTGGACCCAGAACTGGCCTTCCTAGCTGATTCTCCTTACTCAGCCCTCAGCCCCTATGCTGCCCCAGATGGTGGTTCCCCCTTATATTCTCTGCCATCTCTTCCCATTAAGAAATCTTAATTTAAAACATATCTGAAAAGCATAAAAAAAGTCAAAATCACTTGTGATCCCACTATCTTCCAACATTTTTATTGCCCCCCTCCCCCAGCCCCAAACTTCTAAAACTATCCAGGTAAAGGCAGTTAGGCTATAGAGGAAGGCCTCAGAGTGGACGGCCACTCACTTCTCCACTTGCTTTAAAGGCTGTTAGCAGTTTGGAGTGACTTTCTCCCTCTTCTCAGCAACCTGCCTCCCTCCACTCACTCTCTCTCACTCCCACTGTGCACCTCCAACCACCACCCTAGCCTGCTTCCCAAATTGCTAATATCTCCTCCCTTTAGCTCCTTTTACCATTCTCTCCCAGAATTCAATGAGATGGCAGGAGGACAATTAATCACAAAAAATCAGGCGTGTGCTCGGCCGCTGGTCTAGTCCCTGCCACTCCCTACTGTCTTACACTGAGCCCATTTCACTCATTTATATGACCTGCCTGGCCTAGAGAGATGCTGGTGTGGGACCCTTGTCACTGGTAAGTCTCATCTGTCTTTTAAAGTATATCCTTAAGGAACCAGTACTTGACAACCTTTAGTTATCCTAGCTTGGAATTCTTTACTGAAGATGCAAAATACTACATGTTCCCTATTCCATTTATTGATAACTAGAGGCCCGGTGCACAAAAATTCGTGCACTAGGGGGTAGGGGGATCTCTCAGCCTGGTCTCCGCCCTCTGGCAGCCTGGGAGCCCTCGGGGGATGCTGACTAATGGCTTAGGCCTGCTCCCCACCTAAGCTGTTAGTCGGACATCCTTAGAGCTGCCACGGAGGAGGAAGAGGCTCCCAACACCACTGCTATGCTGCCCAGCCATGAGCCGGCTTCTGGCTGAGCAGCACTCCCCCTGTGGAAACGCGCTAACCACCAGGGGGCAGCTCCTGCATTAACATCTGCCCCAGGTGGTCAATGAACGTCATAGTGACCAGTCATTCCCTGTTAGGGACAATTTGCATATTACCCTTTTATTATATAGGATTATACATATATTCTACCTTTTTTCTTTCATTTTGTGAGCTTTAGCCTCCCAGGTCTGCCTTTCTTTTCTTGTTCTAACCCTTGGAATTCCAAGGCTTGGCAAGAAAATGAGGACCTTAAAATTGCTGATGGAAGAAACCTCAGCAAGTTCAGGAGGGAAAAAAAAATGCTTCCTTCCTCTCCTGTAGCTACAGGAAAGCTGAATTTATGCTGTGTCATTCAAACAGCTCTTGCAAATATTCGCTCTAACAAGGGTGTCTTGTAAGACACCTAGATGTCAGATTATTGCTACGTGGTAAAGGCTCTTTATTTGATTGGTCCTTATAATTTATTGCACTTAGAATATCTTAATTAATGCCTGTTTTCTACAAGGTGTTAATTACTTGTGGTTTGGGTACATCCTGGTTGGCTCACAGGAATGGGTGTAAAGAACAACAGACAACCAGTGGCTCAGGGGTTAGGTTCTCTATGTAGCAAAAAGTCGTGTCACTGAAATTCACCAGTTATTCACGACAGCCACAGAAGTACTTTCAAACATGTGCATGAATTCAGCCTTTTCACTCATTTAAACTAGCTCACCTGTTTCAAAAGTGGTAGTTTTGCTAAAGAGTAGAATTTTCAGATGCTTCCATTGATCAAATGTTTCCCAGTCTCTGCAGGAAAAGGAGCTGGGAAGCAGGAAAGCCCCCCAATCTCCATTGGAAAAGGAACCCTTCCATATTAAGATATTAAAGCAGCTTTAATATTTTATGACTCCCCGTGCAGCCAGGAGACAGGCCCCTGTAACAGGAGGCTCATGGGTCAGGTTTCAAGGCCACCGAGTATTTCTTTGCCTTTTTTTTTTTTTCTGGGCCAGTCAACCGGCTGCAGCAGCCCCAGGATCCTCCGAATGAAATCAGTGCCTGATGGAAAGGTTTCTTCTGGAAAATCCCAGAAGCTGAAACCGCAGGAGGATGGGATTACGGGTTCAGGGGGGAACCCGGTGCAGACTCCCAGTGCCTGCCTCCTGGGGTGGCCTGAGGATGACTTGAGATAGGGTCTGCCACAGGCTCGGCTAGGGCGGCTCAATGCAAGTATCTGAGAAGAATAGAAGCAAGGACTGCTGCTCTGCTGGGAGCCAGGGCATCGGGTCTCCTCAGCTCACGTATGTTCCCCTCGCGTGTGTGTGTGTGTGTGTGTGTGTAAGTTTGTGTGTGTGTGGGGTGTATGGGTGGGTTGGGTGGGGGCGGTCTGGTTCCCCTCCCCTCCTGGCTGCCTGCACTGGACTCCATTAGAGAAACACCATGGCCTGTCACTGTCCTCTGCTCGTCCCTCCTCAGGGGGCACTTGGGAGAGCTGCCACGCACAGCCCAGGCTTCTTTTATTATTTTTTACTTCAATATTAGTTTTATTATAGTTTAAAAAACAACAAAATTTCTACCTATGAGACTCCCCCCCCCCCCCAACACTTCCCATTTTATTACATTCAATGTTGTGCATTAGTTTCAGGTACAGCGTCGTGGTTAGAAAGCGATGCACCTTACAAAGCGGTCCCCCTGGTACTTCCAGTGCCCACCTGGCCCCGTACATGGTTATTACCCCGTTCCCTGGGCTGTGCTACGTCTCCAGGACTGTTCGGTAACCGCCAGTTTGTACTTCCTAATCCCTTGATGTTTTTCACCCAGTTCCCCAACCCCCCTTCCCTCCGGCAACCATCAGTGTGTTCTCTACATCTCTGAGTCTGTTTCTGTCCTGTTTGTTCGTCTATTTTGCTCTTTTGACTCCACATGTAAGCGAAATCATACGGTATGTGTCTTTCTCTGACTAATATATTTCACTTCACATAATAGACTCTAGGTTCATGCATCCCGTTGCACATGATAAGACTTTGTTCTTTTTTATGGCTGAGTAATATTCCATTGTCTATTTGTACCACAGCTTTTTTTTAAAAAAATCTACTTATCTATTGATAGGCACTTGAGTTGCTTTTAGAACCTACCTGTCTGCAGGATCCAGAGACCTTCTTGCTGCCACTGCCTGTAATCTTTCAATGATAACAAGAAGGTATTGGTGAGTCTCCTTCTTCCTCTAACTGAAAGGTTACAGGTAGTGAAAGGTAGATGCTCTGATATACCTTTTCCTAAGGTACAGCCTTCAGTCTTATCACATAATCAAGGTGCTATCCTGACCTCCGCCTGCCTGGCTCCAGGACCTATCTTGTCGGCCCTCGAATATTCCCACCCTTCCTTACAGCGTTTGCTTCTTCCCTGTCTTGAAATCACAAAGCAACACCCCTGGCAGAGCAGGGCCCGTGACACACTCACCCAGGCGCGAGGTCTGCTTCCGTTTGATCTCCGTGAGCTTGGGGATGGGGTAGGGCCCGTAGCAGTGAGTGAAGATGACACACAGCTGCTGGCTGATCACTTCGTTCTGAGGAAAAGAGAGAACAGCTCACCTTGCTGGGGGCTGTGCACAACCTCAGGCCAGTTGTTGCTGGGAACGCGTTCCCCAAGGGAGAGAGGCCCACAGACTCATCTCGGGCTCCAAGAGAAATCAATCCCCCTGGACATCACTCATCCTGTTTGCCCGGGCAGGCCCTGGAGCTGCTAGCTTGTTTGTCTACTGTTTCCATGGGTTCATTGGCAAAAGCTTAATTTGTAATTAAACCCTTTTCTCTTGCTGTACTCATTTCCTACCCCACGGGAAAGCAGGTTTTGTAACTCCTAGAATGGAAAATAAATTTTTACCCCTAACCTACTTTTATCAATAGTCCAAAGTTCTGGAAGCCACTAATTATCCTAAAAAGCCCAGCAGAAAGCCCTCCTGGTCCCGTGACTGTGTCGCTGCTGCCGAGATTCAGGTGGTCCTGATTCAGCAACGCCGCTGGCAGAGCAGGGCCCGTGAAACAAGTTCCCCTAGGACAGTGGTCGGCAAACTGCGGCTCGCGAGCCACACGCGGCTCTTTGGCCCCTTGAGTGTGGTCACGAAGTTTCAATCGCACTGTATGTGCGCGCCCGCACGTGGTATTTTGTGGAAGAGCCACACTCAAGGGGCCGCAGTTTGCCGACCACTGCCCTAGGCACTTGATTCTGGTGCTGAGGTCTTTCCGGATTAGGGGTGCTCAGCTGGATCATTTCTCCAATAAAGAGTGGGGGGGGGGCAGGGGGAAACTTCTTCGGTGCAGAATGTCAGCTGCCCCTCATTGCTCAGGGGGCGAGGAGCCTGCTTCCACGGAGCTGCGACCTCCGTGTGCTTCCTCTTCCCCCGCGGGGCTCGCGGCTGCTCACAAGTCTCCCTCCAACTGCAGGTGCGCAGGAGGGAAGCCACGAATCACAGTGTTGGGGTGCTTTTCATGGAGTGAAGGGGTGGAAACTTGGGGCTTAAAGGGGCAGTTAGATAGAAAGACATTTGCAACATATTTTAAAAGTAGGTTACAACACAGTTTGTAGCATGTATTTTTTGCAATAAAGCCCTACGTATATATTTAGATTGACAGATCTCTGCAGAGCAAGGTTGGGAGCTACCTTCTGTGAGATCATGATGTTTTCTTTTTAGCTCCCTGTGCCCACCCTGCCCAGGGAGTTATCTCTTCTGCAACAAACAACTGTTTGTAATAAAACCAATAAATATTATTTTTGACTTTAAAGGATGGGGCTGGGGCAGCTTTGGGGTGTCGGTGGTTCAAGCCCTTCGTGAGTCGACTCCTTTGTGCGCCCGAAGCCGGAGGATGCAGCTCAGCACATGAAAAGCAGCCCAACCCTTTGATGCAGTGGATGAGATCCCAAAAGGCACCTCGTCACTTCAGACGCATCCCCGAGGTGCCGGAGGGGATGCACTCATCCTGAGTGGGAAAAGGGACGCTGCTTTTGAAGAGGAGGCCTCAGAAAACAAGGACAGTAAACGCTCCTTCACGTAACACCCCCACAGTGGTTGCCTCCCTCCTCGCTTCAGGCAGCGGTTCTCCAAGGGTGGTCCCCACACCACACCATCAGCGTCACCTGGGAGCCTGTTAGAAACGCCCGCCCTCAGGTCCCATCCCCGGCCTTCTGCCTCAGAAATGCTGGGTGAGGGGCCCAGCAAGCTGTCTTTTCACACTTTAAAAAAAAAAAATATTTTATTGATTTTTTACAGAGAGGATGAGAGAGGGATAGAGAGTTAGAAACATCGACGAGAGAGAAACATTGATCAGCTGCCTCCTGCACACCTCCTACTGGGGATGTGCCTGCAACCCAGGTACATGCCCTTGGCCAGAATCGAACCCGGGACCTTTCAGTCTGCAGGCTGACGCTCTATCCACTGAGCCAAACCCTTTAGGGCCACACGTTTTAAGTTTTTTTTGTTTTTTTAATCCTCACCCGAGGATGTTTTTCCATAGATTTTTATTTTTGACAGAGGGGAAGGGAGGGAGGAGAGAGAAAGAAACATCAGTGTGAGAGAGACACGTCGATTGGTTGCTCCGCCCAAGTGCTTGGCTGGGATTCTAACCTGAGACCCTTTGGTCCTCTGGCTGATGCTCTAACCTCTGAGCCACACAGGCCAGGGCCATTTTCTGGTGATTCCGACGCTCCCTGAGGTGTGAGAACCACCGGTGTCATGGACTGGAATCTGTCGTGGGTTTGAAGTGGGCCGGGGGCTGTAAATGGGTTTCCTCAGGCCTAAGGCTTTGCCACTCAAATGTGCTCCATCGACCACCAGCAGCCGCAGAATCGCCTGGGAGCCCGCATAATGCAGACAATCACCAGAGGCCAATGAATCAGGGTCCACAGTCATGTGCTCTGCACACGGCTGTCTGAGGAGCAGAATCCTGGCCCCTAGCAGATGGCATGCCCTAATCCAGTGGTTCTCAACCTTCCTAATGCTGCGACCCTTTAATACAGTTCCTCATGTTGTGGTGACCCCCAACCATAAAATTATTTTCGTTGCTACTTTATAACTCTAATTTTGCTGTTATGAATCGTAATGTAAATATCTGATATGCAGGATGGTCTTAGGTGACCCCTGTGAAAGGGTCGTTTGACCCCCAAAGGGGTCGCAACCCACAGGTTGAGAACTGCTGCCCTAATCCCTTGGGCTGTGTCATGAGCACTCCCACCCGTGAATGTGTTACCTTATAGGATGAAGGGGAATCTGCAGGAGTCATGAGAGTGACTGACTGGTTGACCTAAAGAGGGAGATTGTCCTGGGTTATCTGGGTGGGCCCAGTGTAATCACATGAGCCCTTAAAAGGAGGTGCCCTCCAGGCCTCCCTCGGAAAATGCTGGGTGTTGAACTTGGGTTCTCAGGACTCAGCTACACAGAACTTAATTCTTTTAGCTTAAAATCCTCACTCGAGGATGTGTGTGTGTGTGGTTTTTTTAAAATTGATTTTAGGGGGAGAGAGAGAGAGAGAGAGAGAAAAAGAGAGAAAGAGAGACACAAGAGAGAAACAGCCATTGGTTGCCTCCCATATGCGTCCCGACTAGGGATCGAACCTGCAGCCTTTTGCTGTGTGGGATGAGGAGCCACTGGCCAGGGCCAGAACTGAATCTGTCACACCACAGGTGCCAGGAGTCTCTCTTAAGATGGAGTCTGTGGATGTCGGGGCTGACGTCTTTCCTCTCCTCCTCTGACCCCTCACTGTTCTTCTAAAAAGGTACAAAAACACACTCTTTTCTTTGGAAAGGAGCCCTAGGATTGTCCCCAAGGTCTTTTATAGGTAGCGTAGGTGGGGGTTCTACACAGTGGTAAAAGCATGGGCAATGGGACCAGGCAGAGCTGGGTGACCTTAGGAAAAGTACTCAGCTTCTCGGGGCCTCAGTATTCTCTTCCCAGATGAATTACCCGCTTAAGTAAGGATTAAGTTACCTGCTATGAGGATTAAAAAGAAAACACATCACAATATGCCATTAGGTTGAACCAAAGGGAAGTGCCAATGTGTGACCAGTTTTGAACTTTCAAAAGAGCAAATTCCCATAATTCAAATTAATCTCTATTTCCCTAGATTCTAAAATATTCTAAAATTACTGGAAAGAAACTCACTGCAATAAACATGCATTTTAAAGACCCATTTCAAATTCAAAAAGATGAAAAAAGCCTGATCTCAGAATCACGAGAATGTTGAATGTTGCTTTCCAGGGTCATCGGCAGTGAATTCTTTGTCTTGATTGATTCCTCCCAAGACAGGCCCCGCCCCTGTGGAAAATGCTGGGCTGCCCTGTCAGCTGTGAGCCCCTCTGCTGGAACCACCTGGAAAAGGAGGGGGTGGGAAGGCTGTACGGCCCCACAGGATTCCCATGAGGTCGGCTTAGCTCCAAGTCTGTCACACGCCCTTGGAGTTGTGTACAAGATGTAGTTGAACACACTGTGAACTTGAAATGCTTTTAAATCAGCACCCATTTATTTTTATATGTACCTTCTACTCATGGCAACTGATGAGCTTTCTATTTATGGTGGTAATATAATGTTTCCTTTCTGAATACATTTAAGGGAAGGTAAGATGATTTAAAAGAAACATCCTATTAATAAAAGCCTATGTGGTCGTGATGCCCTCACGTCGTGATGCCCTCACGCTGTAACGAGCAATCACCAGGAGGCTGCGTGCGCAGTGGGCATGCGTGGGTGTGTAGGGATTTGTGGATGCATGGATAGGCGGGAGCTTGATGCTGTGTGCGTGGTGCGGAGGCGGGTCCCACGGCTCCACACAGCATGGAGGTGGGACCCCAGGCTCTGGCCTACCTCTTTGGGGCAATCCATTGAGCAGCCCCGGATGGGTGGGAGGGACCTACCTCTTTGGGGCGATAGATAGCGGGGCTCCCGCACTGTGAGAGGGCACAGGCCAGGCTGGCCCCCGCCCCCGCTCTCCCCAGTGCACAAATTTCATGCACCGGGCCTCTAGTATGAAATAAACAACAACCAGTGACAATATCCTTTAGGAACGAAAGGGAAATCAGACACTCTGGGATGAAGGACCTAAGAGAACTGGTCACCAGCACGACCCTAGAAGAATGGCTGAAGGAAGGTCTCTAAACAACAGGAAAGGATGAAGGAGGGAGCCTTGGAGCATCTGGAAGGAGGAACAGGGTAAGCAAACATATGGACACATACAATAGGCGTTCTTCTTCCTCTTCAGTTTCCTAATTATGTTTGATGGTTGATGCAAACATTGTAACTGTCTGATGTGGTTCTAAATTAGATGACATATTTAAAGATGGATATGTCATAAATGGAGGAGGGTAAAGGGACATAAAGAGAAGTAAGGTTTCTATACTTCATTTGAACTGGTAAACTGATGAAACCAGTACACTTTGATATTATGTACATACCAGAGGCCCGGTGCATGAATTCATGCATGGGTGGGGTCCCTCGGCCTGGCCAGTGATTGGGGCTGATAGGGGCCATCTTGCCCAGTCCCAATCGGGGACAATTGGGGCTGGCCAGCCGGCGGGGGGCAGGCGGGGGAGAGGGACTGTAGGAGGTTGGCCTGCAGTAGGAGGTTGGCTATGGGAGCACACTGACCGGTCAACTGGCTGTTGGGTCACTTAGGCTTTTATATATACAGATAATGTAATATATCAAGCAATCACTAACAAAGCTATACAGTGAGATACACTCCAAAACATTACAGATAAATAAAAAATGAATTTAAATAAATGTTCAGGTAGTCCACAGGAAGGCAGGAAAAAGACAGAGAGATCACACAGAAGACAAAAAATAAGATGGTCGATTTAAGCCATAGAGCATCAATAATTATATATAATATATATGGTCTATAAATTCTGATTAAAAGACAGAGATCGACAGAGTGGATGAAAAGTCCAACTGCATGTTGTTTATAAGAAACCTTAAATGTAACATACAGGCAAGTTGAAAATAAAAGGATGGGGAAGATATCATACAAACATTAATCAGAGGAAAGCAGGGGTAGCTGTATTAATATTAGATTAAGGAGACTTCAGAGCAAAGAAAACTAGTCGAAGCAGAGAGGGGCATTACATAATGACAAAAGGGTTAATACACGAAGAAGACATTGCAATCCTAAATGTGTCTGCACCAAATGACACAGCTGCAAAATATGTGAGCTAAAAATGGATAGAACTAAAAGGGGAAGTAGACAAATTCAACAATTACAGTCGGAGACTTTAACACCCCTCTGTCAACTGATAGGATAACTGGATAGGATATTCTATAGGATACAGAATATAGGATGTAGGATACAGAGGAGCTCAGCATAGTCACAAGCCAAGAGGATGTTACTGACAATTACAGAACACCCCACAACAGCAGAAAGCACCCCTGTCCAAGTGCCCACAGAATCTATACTGAGATAGGCCATATTCTGGGCCATACAACAAATCACAAATCTTTAAAAAAGAGTGAAATAATATAGAATCTGTTCTCTGACCACAATGGAATCAAACTAGAAATCAGTAACAGAAAAATCCCAAAACACTTAAAAACTAAATAACACACTTTCAAATAATCCATAAGCCAAAAAAAGCAAGTTTCAAGGGAAATAAAAAATACGCTGAACCGAATGAAGGTGAAAATAAAACATATCAAAAATTGTGGGACACAGCTAGGGTAGTGCTGAGCAGAAAAATGTAGAGTATCAAGTGCATATAGAAGAAAAAAGGAACAGTTTAAAATTGATAGTCTAACCCTCTACCTCAAGAACCTAGAAAAAGAAACGCAAAATAAGCCTACAGGATCTGACCGCAGGACTATCACCCATGCTTGGAGAATGCCTGACTTCACACAGCCACTGGTAAGTTTCATAGTGATGTGTAATACCACATCTCACCAATAGGGGCTGCCATTAACCCCCCATTTACTGTAAGAGCAAACCTGACTGGGTGCAGTCCTCCTAGACTGCCCCGGCCCCATCCCTGGGTCCCCCCAACCCCCCCCTCCATGATCAGTACAACTGCTGGGAGCAGGCTCTGGTCCACACATCCTGGCAAAGGCCCCTCCCTTCTTCCCAGCCCCAGCTGCTGCTGTGGGAGCTGTTGGCTGCTCTGGGAGGGTAGGGGCTGGGCTGGGCAGGAGGGGGCTGGCGGGTACTAGCAATGCTCTATTTTTGGTCCGGCTGCTAATCACACAGGTAGGTTTACTTTGTGGAAATTCCTTTGCCTCTAGAGTTACGATTGGGGCACTTTTCCGTATGCATATATGTATGTCTTATTAAAAACGATGTTAGAAACCCCAGAGAACAGGTTTACTTAAAACACAAGATGCTTCAGTAATTTCTGGAATGCCCACTATATCCCGAAGAAAGGAAGGAAATTAAAAACCCGACACCCATTAGCACACCAGACCCTGGGAACCGAAGGAGGAACGTCTGTCCCGAAGGTGGTCTCTTAGGTAATTTCAGGTGAAAGCCTTTTTTATTTATTTCCAAGGTGGGGGGTGAGGGGCAGGGAGCATTTGGTTTTGAAAAGCCTCCAGCAGGTTTCACTCTAAATAGAACTGCCGAGGCTCATTACCGGAGGCCGCACACCTGCTCCCACTTCAGGTCTCAGTGGGGCCTGACATCAAGCATAAATCTAGCCCGCGGGGGCCTGGACGCTGGGCTGGAGACCGTGCTAATGAGAAGACCTAATGGGCCTTGCTCTGGACGGACCACGTGCTCCAGGCTCAGAGAGCAGGCAGGACGCCGAGTTGCTGCTGCTTTACTGTGGGGCCACCCCCTGCCGGCAAAGGCACTCCATGGTCCCCTCGTCCTTCTCTCGGGCAGCCCAGCCCGTGGGCCCAGCCTGGTGGGGGGTGGAGACCCAGGTTGCCTTCCTGGTTCTGAGGCCTGTTTCCCCTGCGACGTCACAGGTGACTCACAGGGGTCCCAGAGCTCCACAAAGCCTGATCGGGGACTGAGGGGGAAGAGGCTGGCGCTGGGGCCAGACCTCCTGGGTTCAGTCCCAGCTCTGCTACTTAGCGACTCTGTGATCTCGGGCACTCTGGTCAACCTCTCTGTGCCTCAGTTTCCCCATTTGCTAAATGGGGGAGAAGAGCAGTATCTGCTTCAAAAGTTGCCTGTGAGGATTTAACTACATATTTTAGCTTAAAAAAAAAAAAGTCCTCCTTTCCGTCTCGAGACAGTTCATGATAAGAAGGGTTCCGGGGTCAAGTGAGTTTGGGAAACGCTTGCTTGCCTTTGTGAATCAGGCTACGCAAGGCTCTGCAGTAGAGAGATTGGGATAATCCAGTGTGATCCTGAGGAGAGGAGCTGGCGTTCAGCCGGTTACATGTGGTTTCCATGGGCTCCTTGGTGCCGGGGCGCGCTGGGTGTTAAATATGTTGATGCCATCCCTGCTGAGGGGCTGGCTGCTACAGAACAGCCCTTGGGAAGCAATGGAGGCGCCACATCCCCTGGCGAGGCCGTCGCTATGATGGGGACTCTAAAGGGCTCACTCAGTGGCAGGGACAGTGTGAAGGGCACTGACTCGTTTTCTCTTCACAGCCAGCCTAAGAGGTTAAAACAATCACGGTCCCCACTGTCAGATGGGGAAACTGAGGCAGAGAGAAGTTATGTAACTTGACTAGGGTCATAAGGCAAGTAAGTGGCAGAGCCAGGCTTGAACTCCTACAGTTTGGCTCCAGAGCCCGTGCTCCCAACCACTGTGCTATCCCGTCCCCTGAGGCCCACTGAGAAGCCCTGGGGAATGGGATGGTTGGTGCCCAAACTCCTCAAAGCCTCCCAGGCAAACTGGTCCCCCCCTGCCCCCCTGGTGCTTCCACAGCCAGTGGTGGGGCTTTTGCAACCCCTCCCCCTGACCTGGGCTCTCCACTCCATGGCTGGCTGGGGACCAGGCACACCACAGCTGTCCATTCTCAAAGTTGTCCCCCCCCAGCCCCCCATGCTGCATGGCCCACTGGCGGGTACTGGGTGTCTATATGGTGTCATCAAACAAGGCACCCCACAGAGATTTTAAGAACTGACCACACAGTAGCCCCAGGACTGGACTGGTTTTCCAAAGGGTTGCACCATTTCCCTTCAAGGCAGGTCCTGGCAGGAACTGGGAGGCCCATGAGGAAGGGGTGATTCTTGGGGTCAGTTCAGGGTTCATTGGCTTCTGTGTATCTCAAAAGCCTTCCCCAGGGCCCGGCTTCCGGGAACCGTGGCAGGGCCTGTACCCCATTCATCTGGGGCGCTGCGCCGTGTCCCTCCTCCCGCTGGATTCTATCTGCCTGTCAGGCCTGCCCTAGTCCCAGCACCTTCCCTGACCATCTGGCACCTCACCTCTCGGGACCTGTGCCATTGTTTCATAAACCACCTCAGATGCCCTCGGAGCACACGTGCTGGTATTCTCTCACCAGCTTTTGTGTAAATTCCCTGAGGCCAGGAGAGATCTTACTACTTCGTCCATGTGCCTAAGTGCCTTGGAACCTCACAGGGGCTCAGCAAAGCAGCTGCCCCACAAAGGATGGCACAAGTGGCTTTAGCCAGTTGGGGTACACAAGCCACCAGCCGCCATGACCACAGGGAAGGGACCCCTGAGACGGGGAACCTCCTAGCTCTCTGCCGACGGCCCAGCGGCCTCAGACGCCTCGTACCTTGCTGGCTTTCAGGATCTCGAACATGAGGGGCAGGCCCTGGGTGATGAGCTCCTCCGTGTACTCTTCCTCCTGGATGGTCTTGAACTCCTTCAACAGGCCCTGGATGAGGGGCCTGCGGTGCTGCTGGAAGGCGATCCGCAAGGACTCCAGCCACGTGTGCAGGGTCCACGGGACACCTGGGGGGAGGGGAGAGGGGAGGGCAAGGCAGAGAACAACCAAAAGAGAAGGCGCGTTTTTATCTAAAACTTGGCCTTTCCCCAGGACGTTACCCAATTATGAGACCAAGAGGCAGGCTTGCGATGAATAGAGCCAGTGTTGATTCCCCCCACAAAGACTTGCAGAAGTTGAAATTAAAGGTCATAATTCAATTCCCTTAAGTACGGGTGTCCATTTCTTCACGCTACTCATATTATCAGGGGCTGCATTTTACAACCTATAATCATGGTGGAGAATACTGGAGTTGTTATGCACACAGCTCAGGCCTGTGACATACTTCTTAGCGCTGACTTCATTTGTCTCCACCCCCTCCACTTTCTGGGGAGGGAGATGCTTGGGGAGGGGCCGAGTCTTGCCCAAGATTGGATACCACATCCGTGCCCAGGCGAGAGCTGAGAGCTGGTGAAACCCACCAGTGAGCTAAGATGGATGCTTCCACCTGCATAAGGAGACACGGAGGGTATGGCTGCCGGTCCCTGTGCGAAACTACATTTCCACCTGCAGCCACTTCATCGGGCTCCTCCCGCAGCAGGAGCCTCTCCAGCAGCTGATTGCTGAGCTGATTCCCAGCTCTCATGGGGAGAGAAGCAGGCGTCTTGCTCCTGTGTACAACAAGCGACCTTTCGGAGTCTCGGGCTGCTTCACTATGCTAAGCAGGCCCTCGGGGCCGGGGCATAACCGCCCCGCACGCTAAACAGCCCCTGTGCGAGAGGCCCTTTTCCAGAACAGCATCGGGGCCCCTCTGCAGGGCCTCAGGCTACAACCTGAGTTTAAGGCCCATGCGAGTCCTGCTATTCCCATGCTGGGCCTATGCCACTAGATCGGGAAGGCCAGGCTAGCCTGTCCCTCAGATGCACGGAGGAGGTGGCTGTGGGCTAGCTCAGTCCAGGAAGAGCCACCCCAAAGGCTTTCCGAGGGGGAGCCCTGGTCAGGAAGCCTGTCCTCACTCTAGCCGCTGCCCGGACGCAGCTTCATGGGTCTGGGTGCTCTATGCACCCCAACCACTGGGAACCACCTGGGATGCTTGTTAAATATAAAGATTTCCAGCCTTTACCCATCCAGACCCTAGACAGCAGAGCTTCTGGGTGTAGGGCCTGGCAATGTGTATTCAGACAAGCTCCCAGGTGATTCAAACTCCTAACTTCCAGGGTCCAGAGTTTGGGAATCATGGAGAGGTGACCTGAGGACGGGGCTGGCAGGATGCTGCTGTCGATGGGGACAGTGTGGGACTCTCAGCTCCCACAGCGAAGGAGAGGCCCCCTGAGCCTGTGTGTGTGTGTGTGTGTGTGTGTGTGTGTGTGTGTGTGTGTGTGTGTGTGAGTGTGTGTGTGTGAGTGTGTGTGAGTGTGTGTGTGAGTGTGTGTGTGAGCGTGTGTGTGTGAGCGTGTGTGTATGTGTGTGTGTGTGTGAGTGTGTGTGTGTATGTGTGTGTGTGTGTATGTGTGTGAGTGTGTGTGTGTGAGTGTGTGTGTATGTGTGTGAGTGTGTGTGTATGCGTGTGTGTGTGAGTGTGAGTGTGTGTGTGTGTGAGTGAGTGTGAGTGTGAGTGTGTGTGAGTGTGTGTGTGTGTGAGTGGGAGTGGGAGCCGGGCAGTGGTGCTGTGCCCAGGGCGGAGGGTGCCCACACTGACCGATGCTCCTGATGTCAATTGTGACATCCACGTAGCCATGCTCAGCGCTGTGATACATGGCCTCCCTCAGGGCTCTCAGTTTGGCCTTGCTGTTGCGGCTGGCGCACAGGGGGGGCGGGGCTGTCTCCGCCAGGTCTGTCCCCTCGGCCAGAATCTCCTCCAGGGACAGGATATCACTCTTCTCCTTCTCTGGCTGGGCGAGCAGTTTGCGGAACACGTTCCTGTCAATCATAAACCCAGAGAGGAAGACACTCAGAGGTGGGGGAGGGCTTTGCCAGGGCGGGACGGGCAGGGACACTCCCTGGGACGAGGGGAGAGGACGGGACCAGCTCGGGGTGGCGGGTTTCAGAGTCCTGACCGCGGGCGCTCCGTTCTGGGGGTGGAGGAGAGAGTGGGGCATGGCCGGCCGTGCTTCCTCAAGGACAACCAGGGAGCTAAGTGTTTGCCTCAAGTACAGCGGGGCCTTGACTTACGAGTGTCCCGACGAACGAGTTTTTTGAGATACCAGCTGTCTCTCGGCAGATTTTTTGCATTGAGTTGACAGAGTAATTTGAGTTAACGAGCTCCTTAACGAGCTTGGTCTCGGAACGAATTAAACTCGTAAGTCAAGGCCCCACTGTATCTAGAAGGCTCTGGAACCGGTGATTCTGCTTTACGTGGGGTGATGTGTAATGCAACCGATGGGGTAAGTCCTGAGGGAATGGTGGACGGGAGGCGATCAAACAGGAGGTGATTTATTCTTTCTCAACGGATTCTTCTCACTTCGCTTCCCAGAGGGGATGCATGTCTGCGCGGCAGAAGCTGGCTGGGAGAGGACAGAACAGCCAGTCCGGGCAGATGTGTGCAGCATGAGGCTGGCCCTCGGCCGGGAGCGGGCAGTGAAGGCCACGCTGGCCGGGCTGGGGCCTGCACTGCCTCTGGGCCCCACATCCAGAGAGGCAATGGGTCTGGGGCAGGCCTGGGAATCTGCATTTTTAACAAGCACCGCTCGGGGCCTGGGGCTCCGGCCCGCCCTAGCCTACCTGTGTCCGTGGGCTGCGGCCTGGCTGAAAGAGTTCATGTCCCCCTGGGGGGTTGTAGAAATTCCATTCCTGTGCATGGTTCCTATCAAGGGGTCCGCACCTCGCTCCAACAGCAAACTAACCAGCTCAAAATTGCCTGCAAGCCCAGAGAAGGGGGTTTATAAGCGAATAAAGCAAACAGAGAGTCGCAGGCACCCCCGGGGCCGGGGTGGTGGAGGCCCTCGGCCAGGGTGAGGACGGCACCTCTTACCCACGGCGGCTGCGAGCTGCAGGGGCGTCTCCGAGTAGTTCTCCTCGCCGTGCTCCACAGAGCCCTCGACCTTGGCCCCGGCGTCCAGGAGGAGCTGCGGAGGAAGAGGGGCCACGGAGATGTTTAAAGGACCCGCGCTGCGAGGGGGCGTCAGGAAAACTGGTGGAAATCAGTCCATGCCAATGTTCCTGCTCTCCTCTGGGTCAGTGACCACGGGCCAGGGCAGCTGGGCCTCGAGGGGGAACTAGGAGCTGCTTGGATCTACTAGAACCTGAGCTACTCAGTGTGGTCTGCAGGCCAGCAGCAGGGGCACCTGGGAGCTGGTGGGAAACATGGCCCTCGGGCCCACCCCAGACCCACTGGACAAGCGTCTGCATTTTAACAGGCTCTCCAGGTGACTGACTCGTATATGAATGTTTCTAGAAGCCCCTGGAACCAGGGGCTGGAAGACACCCTGTTTGGGTGGGAGAGCATTAACGTGGCCTCTTGGAATCACAGATCGAGAGTTCTGGAGAGCGCCCCGGCCAACCAGGGCCAGGGTTCGGGGGAGCTCTGAGGGCAGGTCAGCAGAGGCTGTGTCCTGGCCAGCAGGCTCCATGTGGCAGCGTGAGCTTCCCAGAGCTCTGCCTCACAGGACTCAATTCTGTGCCTTCCCTAAGCAATTCTGTGCTTTTAAAAAACGGAGATCCTGTCCATGCCGGATCTCACTCACAGTGAATGTGCTGTTGCTGATGTGAACTGGGCTGGGGTGGGGGGGACCTGCTTGCTTTATCCCTGAGGGCGCAGCCAGGAGGGGGCTGCACGTGTGGCTTTCCGTGACTTGTGCACCTGCAGCGGGGAGGAGGCCTGACTTTGGTTTGGCTTTGCTCGGCTGCCCACTGCGCCGACTCCGGATTGAAAGGCAGGGGATGCCGCTGCTTGTTAAAGGACGGCATCTGCGTCTGCCAGGCCACCCGCCGCCCCTTCTTCCTTAGACTCCTCTATGGGGACTGGACTGCGCATGACACTGTACAGGCAGAAGCCAGTGTGGCACGACACACACGCAACCTCCTGAAGCATGGCTTTGGACCTGACTTCGGGATCCCCACACCCTAGGAAACGACAAAGGATTCATGTGGAATCCCAGCATTGCCCAGTGGTGCCTCTCACACGATTCCCTGCTCTCCATTCATCCTCAGAGGCTTGGACCACATAAAAGGAGGCGAGTTCCTGATGGACCGGCTGCTCGTCTCTCTTTTCTGATGCCGTGAAGACCACGTTTAAGACCTAGAATGTACTGGATGGCTAGTCAATGAACACCAACTCTACAACAGCCAGAAAAGGCGCAAGCAACATATGCCCAAAGGACCTCGGATGAGGACGTCTCTCCATGCTTGGGAGCTGTTTCAGAAGACACATGCGAAGGCCCTGCTCTAGGTCTCCCGGATCCGATTCCCAAGAAGTGGGATCCAAGCAAGTGTCTTTTGGAACCGTTGCCTTGGCAACTTGGATGCGTCTTTCCACCGGCTGGAAACCACTAGACTCTACACAAACACCAGGGTCACACCTCAGGGGAGGTTCCAAGGTCTCACACCAGCCAAGTTTTGTGTTCATGTTACGACAGGTAAAACGAACCAATCCACAAAACCACAGCTCAGGCCCCACCCCAAAGCGACTGGGAACAACTTCCGTAGGTTGGCCACTGTGTGTTGTGTGAGGCTGCATGTGGGTAGGTGATAATTTCATATTGGCTAATAGATATAGATCATTCTATATAATATTTCCACTCATATGATATGCATGTGCTATATTCAATTGCAATGAACCAATATGAATGTTTTCGTGACTATGCATGCTGGGAGAGGTACAGATTTGCATAATGGAAGCGGTAAAATTAGAGGTCAGGTGTGGATAGGGAAATACGTTAATACCTGCACTACAGGAATATGTCCATGCAACACAGCAAAAGTCAGAGCCGTCCAATGGCGGGTCTCGGGGTGGACGGATGGATATTTATGAGGAGTACTGACAACCTATAAACAAATTGAAGTTATTTTCAGAATGTGACCTTCACAATACTTAGACTAGCAGAGCTGACCTATCTGGCGCTGGGCACGCGGGAAAGGCGTAGAAAGGACACCCTGGGCGGTGCCTGGGGAAGTGTTGGTGATGTGGGTGGTGAGGAATAAGGACTCCTTTGCCTCTCATCTGAAAGCGATTAAACGGATGACCTCTGACCACCGCTAAGGTGCCTTGGAGAAGGTGTAATGGTGGCTACAACGAGCCAGCTCACCTGCCTGGCTCCTCTCTCTGCTGCAGGAGAGGTGGTGGTTCTGAGACCTACAGGATGTCAGCGTGAGATGCCACTGCCATTTCACCCACACCTTGAGGGGACATTCTCGGTGGCAGCAAACCCCAGGCAAGGGGAGGTCTGCTTCAAGCTTTTGAGCCAGGGAAGCCCACCATCGGATGGAGGCATGGCACCATCTGGTCACAGCTCACCCACGCTGTCCTCACTCCATCCTTCTGCTGCCTTCCTGGTTGACAAAGGCCCTCATATTTCTGGAAACTAGGCATAAAAACTTCCCTGAAAGCACCACAAATAAGCAATCTGATACTGGTCTTTTGATATGGGGGTCTCAAAACACCCCTGGCCACAAGACAGGTGTCTGGGCAGCTGAAGGTTGGGGTCCTGCAGGACTGGAACCCACACATGGTTTTCCCGAACATTCCTGGGGCCATGTCACCGAGATGCCTGTTTCATTCAGAGGCGCTGAGTTCACTCATCACCTGCAGGGGAAGCCTGGAGCTGGGAGCCGTGGGTCGGGCTAGGGAGGCCCAGGGAACCCCACCAGGAACCCAAGCTGGGAAGCCCTCGCAGGGTCTGCACGGTGCTTATGGATGCATAACAGGGGAGAAAAATCCCTAATACTTGAAACTTGTATGATCTAAAATGGGATCCCAAGCTATGTCTATTGACTGCTTTCCTCAGATGAATATAAAACTCACTAACCCCCCCCCCCAAAGCAAATAGAAAAGCCCCCCAAAACCCACAGCACTAAATGACAAGAGCATCTAATTTTGACCTGAAAAGGCTCCCCAGGGTTGCCTAGTTAGGACTGTGGCATACCAATTTCCCCAGTTTCCAAGGCTGCCAATATCTGGCTGCTGGAGAGAGTGGGTCTTAAGACAGCACAGAACATGGTTAAAAAAAAAAAAAGTGTGATTTCACCTATTACAACCCCCGGCAGGGAAGGAAATTAATACCCAGTCCCAAAGTTATGCTAGGTCCCCTCTGTATTTATTTCTTCCAACAACTCTCTGAGGTGGGTGTGATTATTCTCCCATTTTGCAGATGGGGACAGCGAGGCTCAGAAACCACTTGCCCAAGCACTAAAGCACGTCACCAAAGCACAGGGCAGTTTCAGAATTTGAACCCGTGTCAAATTCCAAAGCCTGCTGGGGTGTGCTTTCTGCTCCAGCACACTGCCTCAAGGAGCCATGTGATTCGCTGTAAGACCTGTGGCTGCAACTCAGCCAACCAGGTGCGCAATCAGGATTCGGTGGGGGCGGGGGAGCCACGCCTCAGCTCCGGGACAGGGCCCAGCTTTGCATTGCGCAGAGGGAAAGGGCGGGTGGCTCAGGAGAGCGCTCTCTGCTCTGATCCCAGAAGGAACGGATGACAGTAAGGATCAGAGGCGATACACCTGAGCCAAGTAAAAGCTGGTGCGCCTTGTAGCTTCGTTGGCTGTTTTTAGGTGAAACATACATGCTCCTTGGAGTTTCTCGGGGCTGGGCCTTAGGATGGAGGAAATCCATCCGCTGGTCTGACCTCTTTTGCTGGACCGAGCGCCCTGCCCTTAAGCTCCCCCCCGCCCCCCCACGCTTGGTTCACCTTCCCCTGGGGATGCCAGGCCGAGGGGCCCTGCAGCCCCCTGCACCCTCACCTCCACATTCAGGTCAGCTCCGGCATCCAGCAGCATCTGCACCATCGCCTCGTCCCCACGGACGCAGGCGTACATCAGGGGCGTCATGCCCTGCGGTGAGTGAGAAACCAGAGAACGGAGAAGGTTTACCAGGTGGCTGTGTCACTTGCTGCTAACATGGAAATTCTTCCTTTTGCTTAGAAGGCTATCTTTGCACTCAATATCCGGCATTAAAAAAAATAAACAGCCCTAAGACTCCTAAGGTCACAATCCCCCATAGTTTGAAAACCAAAATGGAGGCAAGAAGGGACCATAAATTGTCTTTTTTTCCTTTTTTTGTTCCCCCCATTAATCGTTGCTTATGTTGGAGGATTTTCCTTTGTCTGTCTTAGGGTGCAACAGACCTGGGAGTGTTTGCTGAAGCAAATGGCTGATTTCAACTTTCTGGGTTCTGCAGCATCAGCCGCTAAGCTATCTAATTGACAAACACGGTTTCCTTGACATTTTCTCTTTCTCAATATAACAAGTGTCATCTTTACTCTATAGAAGATCCCGGTCGGGGTCAAGGGAAATTGGATATCTCTGAGCACACGCCCAGCATTGACATCTGGTTTGACATTACCATTTACAAGCGAACAGCAAGCAAATGAGGAATGGCTTTCAAAAATTCCAGAAGTATTTGCCCATGACTCCTGCTTAGTATAAACAACATATCCCAACCAACAGAAGGAAGGGATGGGTTTTTCAATAAACAGTGTTGTGAAGGTGGGAAAATATCCAAGTAAGAAGAGCCTTATCTCACACCATCCACTAAAACCGTTTCTAGTTTGGTTAGCGACATAGGGACAAAATTAAAACCACAAAAATAATAAAAGAATCGCAAAGGAAAATCATTACAGCACTGAGGACATGAAATTGAAAAGATAAACAAAACGAAAAGGTAAGCAGGACATGGAGACATATCTGTCACATTATAATAAAGGTCATATGTCTAATATGTAAAGAGCCCTTCCAAGTAAAAAAGAAAGACAGTAAGGCTCCAGTGAAAACCAGGCAAAAGGTAAGTAAAAGCTTCACAGGAAACACATATGTAGTTGGAGGGTGGGTACAAGGAAACAGTCTCTGGAATAGTAATTTGAGATAAAAAAAAAAACCTTCAGAAAGGTTGATGAGTTTGAGCCACTATTTCCACTCTTAAGAGTTTCCCCAATGAGACAATCAGGGATTTGAACAAAGATTTGTCTAAGTTTACTTAGCGTTATTGATATAAGTGATTAGAAACAACCTAAATACCCAACAACTGAGTGTGGTTAAGTGAATAAATAATATGACCATGTTATGTAGACATTAAAAGGGACTAAAACTATTTAATGATATTGCAAAGTACCTTTCAATGTACCTTAGTGTCAGGGGCTTGGGGGGACAGCTGCCTGTCTCAGAGGCTCCTCCGAGGGTCCCCCAGAATGACTTTTGTGCATCTTAATCGTACCCTGAAAGTTTGGTGAAAATTTGTCTTGACTTGTTCTGTGAGGTAGTAACAGGCCGGCTGAGCACTAATTTTAACCATGCTGGAAAAAGAACTTGAAGGACACATACTAAATATAAATAGGATGGTTATCCGGTGAAGGAATGATTTCCTTTCTGGAATAGGCCTATTTTTCTCTCTTTTCCATTTCAGCTGCAATGTTCACGTGCAACTTCTATAATGATGAACAAGAGTATTTTTATTTTAAAAACTAAACTAAAAAAAAAAATCACCCCAAGTCACCCGTAGGGGGAGCCTCTGTCCAGTGCCTGCCGTGTCCATCTTGCCATGGGGCAGCGTTCAGACACCCAGAGGACCCTGTACCTGTTCGCTCATGGTGTTGATCCCATCAGGCCCCAGGAGAGACACCGCCTGCTTCACCAGATCCGTCCGCCCGCAGTTCAGCATCCGGAAACCCAGGTCCTGCTTGAACTTGGCTTCGATGGCCACTGCGTCCAGCTTCCGAGAAGCAAAAAAGCAGTCGTCAGCCCTAAGGGAGGGAGAGATGATCAGCGGGGTGCGGCGGCCTCCCCAGGGACAGGCCTGGAAGGCCACAAGAGTTAGGCAGCACCAGGAGACATTGCGTTTGCTTTTCATGTCCACTGCCCGTTCCTGGGCTTTAGTTAGAACGTGGACGTCTTGACCCTTTGTCCTTTGTAAACTGCTGTGGATCTGTCCTGTCCTCTGTGTTCCTACGTGCACGGAGTAAAGTATACTCTTGGCTACTATTTACTGAATGTTTACTGGGGGTAGGCACTATGCTAAACTCTTCACATGAATTAATTCATTTAATTCCCACTCAATCCCAAGAGGTAAATACTATTTTAAACCCTCTTTTTAAAAAAAATCCTCACCTGAGGATATTTTCCCACTGATTTTTAGAGAGAGTGGAAGAGAGAAGGAAAGACAGAAATATTGATGTGAGAGAAACACATCGATTGGTTGCCTCCTGCACGTGCCCCTGACCAGGGCCCTGGGAGTGGGGGGCGGGCGGGAAGCCTGCAATCCAACTGAGGTATGTGCCCTTGACTGGAATTGAACCTAAGACCCTTTGGTCCTCAGGCCGATGCTCTATCCACTGAGCCAAACTGGCTAGCTCTTTACCCCTCTTTTAACCACGGGGAAACAGACACAGATAAAGGCCTTGCCCAAGGCCACACAGCCAGCAAGCAGAGGTGCTGGGATGTGAACCACGGCAGCCTGGAGAGCCCACCTGGGTATCTACTGTGTCCCTCTGTCCTCCCATCATGGCACATGCTATTTGCTCCTTCCCTCATTTGTCTTCCCCTCCAGGCTGGGGACTTCGGTGAGAGCAGGGACCCTGTCTAGTGGGTCTGCATCCCAGTGCCAGACAGAGCACAGCACGTGGAGCTGTTAAAAATGTTAGCTGAATGGACACAGGACAGGTGGGTTCTCTACACTCAGAGGAGAAGCAGGGCAGAGAACTGGGAAGGTGGGATGCGATCACAGATAGTCAGGTGCCTCGGAAACGAACCCAGACAGCCGGGCGCAGCGAGCGAGAGGTTAGGGAAGGTGGGGAGAAAAATCAACGGATTCCAGAAGGTAATGCAAACTCTGCTTGTACAGGATGCCACTTCCTTCCCACTGTGAACTGATCCATCACCTATGGAATCACATCTGCCAGCATTTATTGAGCACCTGTGTGTGACAAGCTCTGCTCTAGGGGCTGAAGACCTGTCATTGTCCCTGCCCTGGGGCCACTGCCTGGAAGGGGAGAGGGCACTGGCCATGAAACCCCATGTGGTACATGCAGTGCTTGAGGGATCGGAGACATGCACCGAATCGAGCCTCGGGGATACAGCAAGGCTGCCTGGAGGAGGTGACCCCTGAGCTGTGTCTTAAATAAGGAAGTGATAGGAGAAAAGAGCAGAGCTCTGAGCTCGTATGAGCAAAAGTGTGGCAACAAGACATGGCAGGTGAAGTGAGGGTAGGAGGGTCCCAGTGTTTCTGGGGTCTAAACTTGCAGGCAGAGTGCCAGAGCTGAGGGTGGGGTTAGATTACAGGGGAACTTGACTTGATTCTCAAGGCTCCAAACATTACCCTTCAGTGCCATTGAACGTTTTAAAGTTGGCAGGGGACTGGCATGGTTGGAAGGCCAACTCTGGGAAAGAGTAGAGGATGGATTTGCGGGGAGCCGCCCCTAGAGGTAAGAGCCATGTCAGTGCTAAATGAACTAGCTGAATGGATGAAGAAGCTGCCAGTGACAAAGAGACGTGACAGGGGCTGCGTGAAGGCTGTGGCTGCTGGGATGGAGCAGGCGTCGTGGGTTCTGTCTTCTCCACACGCAGGTGCCCATTTCTCAGGTGATGGCCCTGAGGCTGGCGGACTTTCATCAGCTGCAGTCAGCGCAATCCCAGACCCCCTCCTGCCCCTCCTCTTGCCAATCCAGAGGGTGGACACGGAGGAAAGGAGGCAGGCTTTCAGCATTCCTGGTTCCATTCCTGCTTCTAACTAACCCACATGGTGGTATAGGAAGGATTAAGTTTGTGAGGGGATTATCTCCTTTTTTTATCCTTGGAAGAAAATGAGAGGGGGCATAGTTTATGATACTCAGACTCCTGCTCAGCAGTAAGGCTAGGTTCTGGGGAGAACACCAGAGGGGCGAGCCACAGAGAGCCTCAGGAAATGGGTGGGGTGGGTGTATACGTGACCCTTCCTTGGGTTCCTGATATATCATTCATCTCTGCTGACACAGGAGCTTTGGCCCAAGACTGTCCTGAAACAGGAACCCTGCGGTAGGTAGGATATGTTAGGCTCTCAATAGATGACACTAGAACTTTGCTTCTGACCACCAGGGGGAGCTGATGCAGCGAAGATTCCAGAGGACCCTGAGCTTGGGGTTGATAGGGGGTCTAGTCTGTATGCATGCTTCAGGAACCTTGTCAAGTCAGGCTCCAAGGCGCAGGGAAGAACTAAGAAAGGTATTTAGGGGACCATAGTTGACCAGGATCCTGGACGCCAAGATGAAAGATCACCTCAATGCTGCTGGAAACTCTGCAGGGAAGCCTGAGAGCCCCCCACCCCCCCCGGAGTCCCCCAACCCCCACCCACCGCCCCCCTAGGTTGGGGAGAGATGAAGGACTCTGGGCCTGGCCTTAGACCATGGCATCAGCATCCAGGTTCGAACTTCTGGGGCACAGAATGGGGCTGTGCCATAGGGCCCAGTTCATGGGGCTTTGGACTTGGGACTCATTGCTAGGGCTTCAGATTTAGCCAATAAAAAATACTTTAGCAAATATTGCATGGGACAAACTGGTACTAAGGCATTATTCACTGTTTATCTGCAATTGAACTGTTTTGTCTGGGAATGGGCAGAGCCACTTGCCATGACCCTAAAAGAACAGGAGGGGAGTCCATGGATCCCACTGTAGAGAGGACGGCACCCATCTCTAGGGAAAGAAGGAACACCTTTGTGAAGGAAGCTTCATCTAAAGGACTGATGTTTCCTAAAAATGATTAAGGAGGCCTGGCCGCCATGGCTCAGTGGTTGAGCGTTGACCTATGAACTAGGAGGTTACCGGTTCGATTCCCAGTCAGGGCACATGCCTGGTTTTTGGGCTTGATCCCCAGTGTGGGGTGTGCAGGAGGCAGCCGATCAATGATTCTCTCTCATAATTGATGTTTCTCTCTCTCTCTCTCTCCCTCTCCCTTCCTCTCTAATATCAATAAAAAATATTTTAAAAAATGGTGGACACATATGTAATACCCTTTGTAATACTTTAAGCAATAAAAAAAAGAAAAAAAAGAAAAAAAAATGGGCAAAGGACCTAAATAGACACCTTTCAAAAGAGGACATTCAGAAAGCCAAGAGACATATGAAAACATGCTCAAAGTCACTAATCATCCAAGAGATGCAAATCAAAACAACAATGAGGTACCATCTCACACCTGTCAGAATGGCTATCATCAACAAATCAACAAACGACAAGTGCTGGAGAGGATGTGGAGAAAAAGGAACACTTGTGCACTGCTGGTGGGAATGCAGACTGGTGCAGCCACTATGGAAGACAGTATGGAGTTTCCTCAAAAAACTGAAAATGGAACTCCCATTTGACCCTGTGATCCCACTTCTAGGAATATATCCCAAGAAACCAGAAACACCAATCAGAAAGGATATATGCACCCCTATGTTCATAGCAGCACAATTCACCATAGCTAAGATCTGGAAACAGCCTAAGTGCCCATCAGTAGATGAATGGATTAGAAAACTGTGGTACATCTACACGATGGAATACTATGCTGCTCTAAAAAGGAAGGAACTCTTACCATTTGCAATGGCATGGATGGAACTGGAGAGCATTATGCTAAGTGAAATAAGCCAGTCAATGAAGGAAAAATACCACATGATCTCACTCATCCATGGATAATAGAGACCATTATAAACTTTTGAACAATAATAGATACAGAGGCAGAGCTGCCTCAAACAGATTGTCAAACTGCAGCGGGAAGGCCGGGGAGGGTTGGGGGGCAGGAGGTAGGGGGGTAAGAGATCAACTAAAGGACTTGTATGCATGCATATAAGCATAACCAGTGGACATAAGACATTGGGGGATAGGGGAGGCTAGGGGACTGTCTAGGGCGGGGGGATAAAATGGACACATATGTAATACCCTTTGTAATACTTTAAGCAATAAATTAAAAAAAAAAATGGTCAAGAAGAAGCTTCAAGCCAAATGGACAGGAGAGAAGAGGGTGAGAGCAACAGGGAAGGTACTGGGGCATAGGTCACTGCGGTTTTGGGGAGTGGGGAAGAGGAGGGGTCTGCATATGCTTCACATGCAACTCTCTGGGAGGTATCAGGTTTGAGTCATTATAAGGAGAAGTTTTCTTCTCCCAGACCACTGTCTAATTCGGGAAGAGGGCGCTTTGTGAAATCAGAGCCTTTTTCTGGGAGCAAAGATGATGTGAATCGTCATTGTCACTGAGTTTGCAATTTCCTCTTTCCTGTCTGCTATCCTCAGTGCTTGACTGATTCTCTCAAATAAGCAGTTTTCCCCCCTGGAGTCAAGCTAAATTCCATTTGACTGGATAAATATCACTGAGCACCTACTGCGTGTGGGCACCATGCATGGGGCTCAGAGGAGGGAGACACAGGCCCTACCCCGTGTTCACCGAGCCCCAGATGATTCCAAGAACATCAGCAGTGTTTACCAGCTAGAGAGGTCCTTGATTTTAATTAGGAAGAGACAAATGGCAAGAAAATTACTGTAGTTAATGATGATGATGATAAAAATCCTTGTTATAGGAAGCTGACGTTTATTGAGCACCTACTATTGATATCTGATCTCTTCCCATGTATTAATTTATACAATTTTTACAACAAGCCCCATGATGTGGGTGCGGTTAGAAGCCCCATTCCAGAGATGAGGAAATTTCCCAAGTCACAGAGCTGATAAGCAAGGAGTTGGCATTTCACCAGCTGAACAGGCAAAACAGCCTGACCCCTCTCAGCGGGACCAGGCACTTCTC